CAACACGAATTTGTTCTTAAGTTTTGTCTTACGCACATTTTTGGCGTAAGATCGTTTCGAGAATCTGGCCTCTGCACTTCCGAAAGTCGCAGGAAAGGTAAGACAGACGCAGACGACGTTGCGAGCAGACGACGCTCAGATAGGGGGTCGCGATCAGCCAATCGGGGCTCGGCGTTCCGACGTCACCGCTACCCCCTGCACAAGAAGCAGACGAACTTGCCCTCGGCATACAGTACATATCCAGGAAGAGGAGATCGTAATTGAACTTGGCAGCTTACAGAATAGGTTTGTTTCTATTCCTTTATTTTACCCTTGGAGCCAGGGGTAATTGTGCAATTGTAAATGCAACCATAGGAAACAAACATGTTAAACAATGGTGTGAGCAAGTTATACAATAGTGGTTAAAATGCAAGACCAAAATATATGAAACTTAAAGGACACATCATAGGAAATTGCATACTGCCGCCGATACGCCAGATCCCATGTGGTCCGTCAAACAACCAGAGTCCAGCCTGGTTCTTTCACAGGAGCGGGTATTCCGCTCCCTTTTATTTGTTCCTAAAACACAACGCTAAAAAACACTCAATCTAAACTGCAAAGACATGCGACATTACACCGATATTCGCACGTAAAGCCAAAGCTAAACACTAGGAGGGCCCCCAGGCCTCGTCTCCCACGATTACCCGAGATCCGGTCGCACACACTTGCATGTTCTCGGCACCGCCCAGTCCCCAGAGGCCCCTCCCCCCGGTCCCCCGTCAATATATCGATGGGCGAAGAGATTTCTTCTCGCCCGCCCTGGGGCACCGGTGATGCGCTCTAAAGGCACTCTAAAAATCACTTTTATCTGTTTACTCTGCCCACCTTTTGTGATGCGACACGCCATCACATTCTACTCCGTTTCACCTTGTGTTTTACCGCAGCCGACGATACGAGCCACCGCAGCCAATCCAACTATTTGTCGCTGCCAGATGACACTGTGCTCGACGTGCCGTTTCACCCAACGGACAGGCCACGTGACACACCTTCGGCACTGGATTGGCTCCGATGGCTCGCAGCATTCAGAGTAAAGTGCGGTATTGCATTTTGTGCTTTAGTAACTCGCCACTGCCGAGCTGCTATGCCAGGAGCACTCAGCAGATGCCACCAACTCTGCCGCCCCTACGCTCCATTCACCCCTACGTTGACAGGGCGGTAGCAGCCATGTGGTTGGTGGGCCAAGCTTTTATTGCCTCATGTCCGACCTGCACATCTGTATGAGAAAGGGGCATGATAAGTGATGCAAGACTAACAATCGGCTGGTTCACCGAGCATGTAGCCTCCAGTGCCCTGTCAGTTAAGGGGTGAATGAAGTTTAAAGTTGGTATATAACAGCCGTCTACTGTCCCACTCTCAGGCACGCCACCCATGACCAGTCCAGTCGTTGATCTTTAAGCAAGGTTAAGCAATGACTGCCTCGTGCCACCACACATGAAGGTGTCCACGGAACAAAGCCGCATTTGTGTCTACTCGCACCTTTGAGAAAATTGGTTCTGCCATAACCCACACCTCGTCGGGGTAGAAAACTTTCAGGCCCTTTATTTCCTGTGTTGTACAATACCCCAAGAGGTCCTCTGTTGAAACCGGACTATCTTGACCCCCTTGGTCAGAGGCGAGGCCCCTTGCCACCATTCAGCACCGTCTACTCATTCATAGATGTTGCTCCTTTCGACAAAATGCCTGTGGCGACAGCTGGAGCTAGTGAAAAAGCGGACACCATAGCTCTTCCCAAAGCACCCTGTTCTTTCTCAAGAGCGGCTAGTTCACCCAGGAACAGTGCAATGGTGCTTGGTGGTCTGTGATCGCAAACCACCGGTCATAGCCCCACCAACGGCGGCGGCGGTGGCGCCCCCCCCCCCCCCCCCCCCACCTAGAGTTCCTGTATAGCTACCTACGGTAGCAGAGTTGCGCATTCAGCCTCGGCGCGTGGCCATAGCACCGGCTTTCCCACACGAGCTGGATGCTTTGCTCCTCACGTGACTAAATTTGGCGAATAGCGGCGCTGCGCACGCCGCCGCTCATGGAAAACAGGAGAGGAGGAAAAGTAGGCGGAAAGCAGGGAAACATACGCCGGGGCAAGAGAAACGTCGGCGGAGCGATCGTAAAGGTGGCTTTCTTGCACGCCACCGGATGCTTTGCTCCTCACGTGATGGATCTCGGCGAATAGCGGCGTGGCGGCACGGGGAAAACAAATGTGCAACTCTGGCTCCCATACGGAGCCTATACAGGAACTCTACCCCCACCAACTGACGTCACTCAGGTGACAAGCATTTCACTCGCATGACGTGACTCCAAGCCATACTCACTATGGCTGGCGACAACGCATAAAAGGCATGCGCTGGCCCTTTGACCCACGCAAAGTGCAGTGCAGGAAGTGGAACGGCATCGGTGACCCAGTCGCTGCAGTTACCCAGAACTGTTTTACTGCTGTCTCGGCGAAGGTGCAGGCCCGCTGTTTGATGCACGTAGGTAGAAGTCATCAGCCGCAAGCATCGGACACCTGGGGTGGAAAATTTTGCACCCAACAAAACCATAACCATGAGAAGAGTGGTCTAGCCGGCGAATTGCAAAAACATAAAAATCAGGCACATAAAGAAGTATTTCTGTTACCTCGTCTCATGCTCGAGCATTGTTTTGGATAGTATACATCAATAATGCCTGTCTCGCAGTGGCTTTCTGAACAAAATGTAGTAGAAAATAAAACCAGTTGAATACCAAAGGAGAAGTAGAACAGAGAGGCACTTATTTGTTGTCACTTTAACATGCACACTATGGAAGAGCACAACTCTTCGCCATTAACCTGTAGCAGAATCGCTGAGCAGTTCTGCGGCAGGTGTGAATGTACCACGAGGCAGAATACAGTATTTGTGCAGAAAACACCATCGCAGGCCTACCAGGACGAACAGCAACATATTTACCCGCCACAAATTCGACGCGCCGTGAGGGCCATTCGCGAAGCCTGATCTGTTTGTAAATCCCGTCTTTCGACAGAACGCTTTTGTGACTGCACGAGCTCGTCAAAAGCTGACATTCCCAACATGCAAATGCGGCGCAGGCGGCACTTGGGAGCCACATGCCACTCCCGTTGATTATCTGTATTATCTTCTTCTTTGTCCCCGACGCTACGTGAGGTAGCCAAGCGCTATCAAATTCCACCATAGCGGTGTTGAATCGACGATCGAACGCCACCAGTAGGTAAATTCCACTCACCTTTTACTTTCCGAACAAGCGTCCCACGAGCCTCCATGTGGCGAGACGGGGCCTGTTGCTGGCTTGCATGAATGCGCTGAATGCGCTGTAAACTTCACTGCCGACGCTCCTTCCCAAGCATTGAATATCACGACCAACTCCACTCGGCAATACCGCGGCACATAACACCGCTGGAACCACTGATATGGAACCGACGCGACCGCTCCGAAAAGCGCCCAACAAACACTTGGAGGAACGAAAAGTAAAAACAAAAAGTAAAATTGAAAGAAGCAAAAACAAACAAAACAAAAATTTTCGTCACTTCCTGTTTGTGTTGTTTTGCTTGTTTTTGCTTTTTTCTCTCAGCCAATAGGCGTTGCAACCTTACTGCGGCGAAACGCTCGTAATCAAGGAGGTTAGAAGTACTAGGAGGGGGCACGTTGCAATATTGGTGAAGCCTAGTCATAAAAAGTTTAAACGATTTTGTGCCCAGCGTGACCGCAGATCTCTCTGCCGATTGGTGCGCGTGACATGTCACGTGTGAGATGGATGGTTGGTTGTAGAAGGACGCCTTGCAGGCTTGCGCGCGCTCCGTCCGGTAGGTTCTATCAGATCGAAGTCTAGACTGTGGTGTATTCTAGTACCCCATAGCAAGACGACGGAGGCTAGCTACGGTCACGTGATGTGGTCACGTTGGCATGGTAAGTGAGGAGAGTAAGGAGGAAAATGAGAAAGAGGCGAGGCGTCAAGGGAGCCTGGCTTGTGGAGGCTACGCGGCCGACGTCATGCCCTCTCCTACCCTTCTATTCTCCATGCTCGTAATAGACCGGTTCGACTTTGTGGACAGTGTGGCCAGACCTTGATACAGGCGTGTCTAGGTTTGGCAATTTTTTTTTATGCAGAAGGTTATTTTATTTTATTAAGAGTTTCACCTAAAAAAAAACAGTTCAAACCACTAAAGAAGTTATTAACTTAATTTTTCCTACACTATTAACTGTAATAACGAATCAGCGCTGCCCACTGATCTCTATACATAGAGATCAGTGGCGCTGCCCCTGATTCATCCCTTAGCCATCACTATCCAATCCGAAGCCAACTGGCCAGCCTGTCGCGCATACGCACACGAGTCTAGGGGGTGTCGCGAACCGGTCGCGTTCGAGTTCGACCAGGTTCGACTTTTTCGACCTTTTAGTGGAAAGTTCGACGAACCTTGTATTGAGGTTCGACTCGTGTGCGCATGCGCGACAGGCTGGCCGCTTGGCTTCGGATGGGATGGTAATGGCTAAGAGATGAATTAAGTGCAGCGCTGATTGGCTATTTTAGTCAATACAGTACTAAAAATTAAGTTATTAACTTCTTCAGTGATTAGAATTAGCTTCTTTTAATTGCAGCGGTCCACAAAATAAAATAACCTCTTGCATAAAAAAAAATCTCCAAATTAGCTTCTTTTAATTGCAGCGGTCCACAAAATAAAATAACCTCTTGCATAAAAAAAAAATCTCCAGTCGAACCCCGGAAGTTCGACCAAAAAATCTGGTTCGACAAAAGTTCGCGACACCCCTACACGAGTCGAACCTCACTATAAGGTTCGTCGAAATTGCCACTAAAAGGTCGAAAAAGTCGAACCTGGTCGAACTTGAACCGCGGCCGGTTCGTGACACCCCTACTTTCCACTAAAAGGTCGAAAAAGTCGAACCTGGTCGAACTTGAACCGCGGCCGGTTCGCGACACCCCTAATCGAAACCAGTGCAATGACCGGAAGAACAACGATTATTTCGTTTTTATAAAGATGGCGCCAGCCTTGGATGGCGTATGGGGCAAGCCGACATCTACTCTCGATTGGTGCGAGCGGAATTATGAAGTGACGGCGTACATTGCAGAGTTCTGTAAGTACCCTTGAGTACCTCGAGCACCGCCGCTGTTTCAATGAATCGTGCTTGGTGGCTTGGTTCTATGAAGAGCGGATCCCCGACCTGTTGGTTCTCTGATGTTTCTACCGCCGGAATCCAGTCAGCCTCAGTAAGCACCTGGTGTTTCAGCTGTAGGTGAGAAGCCAGTGCAGTACAACCGCTAGCTTGGGGTCTTTAACGTGCACCACGCAGTAGTGATACACGACCGCACGCCGGTACGATGCTCATCCAGGTCGAAACGGGCATGGGTCCCTGGGTTCTGCAGCCCGAGCTTTCGCTCCCCCTGCTCCGAGCTGGTGCGCGCTAGCCCACTCAGCCACCGATCCACCTTCATGGTTCTGGAAAAGAAGCTTCTGCGAAGGACTCGAGACATTGCAGATGGTTTAAAGCAGGGGCAGAGCCAGAGGGGGGGGGGGGGGGGGGGGGGGGGGGGCGGCGGGCGGGGCGACGGAGGCGGCCGCCCCAAACGATGTTGACCTCCCCCCTTTCCCCTTCCCCCCTCCTCGGAGGGCAATTTGACATGGGTGGACCCCCCGGTGCACAAGAAAGTGGAGTATGGGAGAATAATATCCTTACAAACTTTGTCGCCGCGCCCCCCCCCCCCCCCCCCCCCCCCCCCTCCTCTCCTCCAAAACGGAGTTCTGGATCCGCCCCTGGTTTAAAGCGTATTTGGAGGATTGACCTGCCGGCAACAAGGTTTTCTCAAGTGATAACAATGGATGTGGTACCCTCCCTGTCTTCCAGCTGGTCAAGCAGAGAGGGAAGACATTGTTTTTGTATCAACCTTGGGATCAAGGATAATCCACAGTTGGAAGAAAGGCAACACTTAGGGGAACCGTGTCTGTCGACCTCTCAATGAGCCAATAGAACGTAGCTGAAGTTTTCGCCCTCCTATGTACCCGAATTGTTTGGTTGAATGGATCAGAGAAGCTTGTGAGCGCGTTGTTTTCTTGCCACTCGATGTCGAACCCAGTTGCGCGCCCAGCTAAAAAACGGTGTATTTTCGGGGCGGGCTGCGCCACTAAAGCGCCACCCCTGCGCTAAAACCGAGGTTGTGGATGCGATGCAATAAAGTCCAACACAGACAAAGTTGGGTTGCTTAATTTTGGCTCTCTCGCAAGGATCGAGTGGTGTTGCCTATAGTCGGTGACAGGTCAAGAATGAAGTGGAAGCTCCTCCCACCTCTTTTCACTTTAGCAGAGCAAACGTAGGAGTGGAGGCAACCTCCTCTCCAGCATTCACTCTGCTGAAGTGGAAAGAGGTGGGAGGAGCTTCCACTTCATTCTTGAACTGTCACTGACTATCAGTACTTCCAACAGCTCTGTGATAGCCTCTTGTTTGTGCTTGAGATGTAATCTTTTCTTGGGTCTGTCGTGGAATTTGTGTGGGACTTGCAAAGCCCTGGTTCTTTGCAAACCAGGGAACACGGTGAGCAACCTTGCCATGATAGTGCCCCCGGCGTACGGAGCCATCCAAGCGTGGAGAAAGAACCTGGAAACTCGGCTCGTGCTGTGTTACGGATTCTTGCTGGGTGAGTCGTGCAGGACTTTTATGCATGCGCAGTTGAAAGCAGTCAGTCTGCACTCATGAAAGAAGCAAAGGAAGATTCCAAGTTTCGTGTCCTAACAATGTCTCTTCTCCACCAGTTGTTGGCATCGGATCGTGGTGTTTTCATATGACACTCTGGTTCGAGATGCAGGTAAGGAGGATGTTTATGGTCCGAGCTTGAGCTGTGGATTTATAGATTAACCAATGTTAACATACCACTAATCTCTGCCACAGCTTCTAGACGAACTGCCCATGGTTTGGGGAACCTTAATACTCGTCTACACCCTGTAAGTGTTTTTGTTTGTTATTAACCTGCTTGCACACACACGATTTGTGCTTAAATTTTTTGCATGCACCAGTGTCAGAAACACTAGAATCTTTTCCGTGTTGAAGGCACGAAGGACATGGTTTCCATTTGTAGAGGCACTGACACACGGTATATTTCCATGTGCATGTTTCTTTGTGGTGGTGTTTTTGTCATTTCTGCATTTTAAGCGGACTCGGGTACAGTTCCTTAACACTTGCCCTTTGCACACAGGCGCTGTGTCTCTCCTGTCAACATGACAAGAGATACCCAACGTGCAATCTGGGTGTCGGGAGAGCTAGTCAGACCTCTTGGGCGGCTAGCTGATTGCCGACCATGTATTGGTTATCCACCAATATGAAGGAGCAGGCCACACATCGGCGACTTGTGTTGTCGGAGCCGCATGCATTGTTGTCCCAAAATAGGCATGAAACTTTTAAGTGCTGCGTGGCCCTTTTGTAAGGGCCCGCTTCCGAAATAGTGTGGCCGAGGAATTGAAAACGATAACGGGCACAGTAGCAGCCTCCTGCCAAAGTCGTGCGCTTGCAGTGTGGCATTCATATTAAAAAGTACTGTACCTAACAATCTCATTTGCTAACTGAAAAAAAACGAAAAAAAAAAAAAAAAAAAACTTCTTTGCACATAAATGTCACCTCTCCTTTCCTCTCTCTCACCAGACTTGTCTTTCCTACAAAAAGCTTAAGTTTGTCTGCTGAACAAGCTTGTAGCACTAGCTTCGATTCTGGCACCCAGGACTGCCATTGTTGGTATGGTATGAGGGCTGGACCAAAAAGTAACTGGAAAAGGGGCTTTTTAATGTGCCCATCATATCAAATACTTTAGTAGGAGGAGTACAATAGGCTCGGAGTGGACAGGATCTGGTACTTTTAAATGGCTGGGTGTCCTTCATGGTTCCCTTGAATAGGCCAGTAACCAGCACCATCTCTCGGGTTGGCCGCATACTTGTGTGCATGTGGTTCGATCGCGTTGTCCTGTCTTTTCTAATTGGAATGTATTTAAATGGGCTTTCAAAATTTAGTCAAGCGAAGCTGCCAGGCACAATATTATTGCGACAGTGCCTGTGTCTCTCACTAGTCGCAATCACGCATTGCAGAATTAATGGTGAGGACACTGGAGACACCAGAGGCACATTTCGTAGGCAATACTAAGATGGAGGGGTGGGCTAGTTAATACATTGTTGGAAGAAAGTGCCGAACAAGCGGGAACGAAGAAGGAGACGAAGACGTGGCACGAGGGTAAGGCCAGTAAGCAGTCAAGTAGTTGGTAATCTGACAGTTGCTAAAGTGCCTGAAGATGCCGGATGTTAGCGAATTTATTTTTACGGACTTAATATTTTGCGTAAGCGTTGCAGAGACATTTCGCTGGCACAAAGGTTTTTGTTATGCGATTGGAAAAGGTATGTATTGTGTTTGACGCTCTGATATGATGTATTCGCTTTTGAATTTTTTGCCACTTTATTTTTGCGTGGTGAAAATTGTCATTTACGTCGCCAGCTGTGTTTTTCAAGTTACTCGAAAAACACGGTCGACAACAGGAAAATCGTTTATAAAAGGGGTCCCTAATATTTCGTGAATAGTCAACAAGCTGCTAAATAGACGATTGGCTCTTGAACAAGTTTCGTTTAAGTAATCTTCTCAGGACTTCCACGACAATCATTTAAAACTCTGTTTAAAGGGCAGCTTTGGTCGAAAACGAAACCAGACTGGTATCGCTTTAGTGGCAGGAGATATGATCACAGCCAAAATATTACGTCAAAGTGAAGCCGCAGGCTCCATTAAAACCGATTTTAAAGATGCGACCAGCTGATCTGTTAGTGCGTACGTCTTTTGTTTTTATTCTTTCTTTCTTGATGTGATCAGTTGGTGAAAACAGGAGGCGATCCGTTCCGCTGGATATCCTGAGCTCGGAAGCCGTTGAGTTTGGGTGTTGGTCCGTTGAGTTTGGGTGTTGGTGCTTTCGGTTGCTGAATCCGGACATAATTTAGTTTTTGCTGAGACGTCTAGGGCCTTGATCACCCCAGTTTAATCGACTTGGAGTATCTTGCATCTCTGCATACGCATTAAGCATCTTGCATCCTCTGGGGTTGAGTGTGAAGGGGCAGTCCTGTTAATGTTTTCGCTCTAAAACACCAAGTATGGTACAGCCACCTTATTTGAGGTTGTGGACTGTGTGGAATCACCGCCACCATCCAAATCGTTGTCGCCATCGTCATTAAATTTACTTGGAAGAGCTGAGTTCAGCAGCAAAGTCATCACTGTCTTCACTCGATGAGCAAAACTCAACTTCTTCAAAGTCACTCTAGCTTTCTTCAGCGATCGCTCTTATTTTTGCGATGAAGTTCCGTGTGCTCCATTGGCTAGCGACACAATATTTTTAAGTGACTGTTACCAGAAAATATATTCATTTATCCTACCAACGGCACAGAAAAAAAGAAGACACCAACTAAAACGAGTGCTGCCATCTATGATCAGCACCGCAAACCATTCGGACGAGTGGAGCACGTTCATAGAATTAAGGGCTACCGGAAAAAACACTGGACGAGCTGAGCTCATCCGGGATATTTTTTAATCAGAAAGCCACCACCGAGCTCAGCTCGTCCTCCGAGGCACTTAAAAGATGAAACCCACACCCTGCTGAATTGCCTCATGCAGAGCCGTATATTGGGAGAGTTTGGCCAGTGGGTGTGGCGATGAAGGCGCCGGAGAGTAGAAAAGTAAATGAAAGGGAGGAGAGCGCCGAAGGAGCGAGAGAAAAAGAAGGGAGCAGAGAGGAGACGACCGCCATTTTTTAGCAACGCTGTCGGAGACTTGTCGGAGAAGAGCACTGCTGAGGCTACGCGTCGTCTGCTACGGACCGACTTCTTTTTCGCCCGAATAAGAGTTTGTGGCCATACGCCGAAAAATCTTTATTTATTAGCTTTTTAACCCACCGAGGAATAACAGATTGTCATTTTCGTGCCAGAGCCAGCGATATAAAAGGCAATAATCGAGATTTAGATGCCGATCCTACGCATCCCGCCGGGAGAATGATCGAAGATGGCGGCCTTCCCCACTTCACGCGCATGCGCTCTTTCCTCTCGCTCTGCGCGGCGTGCTGATTGGCTCACTCGGGAGGAGAGTGTTGTGGCGGCGAGATCATAGACTGACCAAACTCTCCCCATATACGGCTCTGGCCTCATGGCGATGTGGGCTTTTCTTTTTGTAAATAGTAACTCGTATGGAGTGTAGCGATTTGGACTTCTCTTGGTTTCGTTTCATTTAGAAGCATACCCAGAAACTAACGCTTGTTGTGGGTATTTTTAATTTTTTTTTGGAATTTAACTTGGTATATTAGCATACATTCTCTTTTCTGATAAAAAGAAACTTCATGGAAGTGAAAATCTTTTGTAGATGCACAAAGCTTTATAAAATCATAATTTATCAGCACAAAAATTTGTCTCCTTCTTGACACGAGGAAACATCTGAACGAATTGCAGCTGTCGTCTTCAAACTAGATCGCTTGAAGATTGTCCATAGCAAGTGTTCATTGTACCCTTGAAACAGCATTGTGACCTGACCCTCTTGTGGTGAATTCCAGGGCCGAAGTATCCAAGCCAGCGCATACGAACAACTACTACTTAATGGCAGGCCTCATACTTTATGGTACTGTCATCACCGCTGTAAGTTGTTTTGTCAAACTAGCTGCAACTCCATTTACGCTAGAAGCTCGTTAACAGAAGTCCCAAAAAATGTTATTTCTTTAAGTGCCTGGTCGTATTACAAAATGAATTTAGGTGGAGGTACGCTCTGCCCGCACGCTACTGTAGGCCTATTAGTGCTGGATTGGCTCGGCTGTTCGGCAGAACTCCTTATGCAAGCCTAATGTCTCCCTCTCGTGACGTTCAATTAATTTCGTCTGGTGCCTGACAGCATTTGCTAGTCGTGCGATCAGATGGACTGCAGTTTCTGTCCACCACTGCCTGCAGTGACCACCATAAAAGCGTCGCTCTGGCGTCCCATTATACACAAGCCACGGATCTGTCAATAAAAAGCGCCTGAAAACGCTGGAAAAATTGTATATACATATAAAATCAAGAATTATGCTGTTCTTTTCTTCCGTTTTGTTGTTTTTCATAGTATCCGCTATCAAGGTGGGGAAGCGTCATGACGCGCAACTTTTTTGTGACCTCAAAACTTTGTTTTTGCGAGCCTGGTGCGTTGCTCAAAACTTGAGAGCTCGGCCTCCCAGAGCAAAATGATGGGAAGATACCTGGACAAACCTGATGCGACGTGAACACCCAATGACTTCCAGCCAAATGGCTCGCAAGTTCTTACCCGTAGCTGTCCTCTTGGTACTGGAACGATGGTCGTAATCGCTACGTTTGCATGATTTACAAAGAAGCGTAGCCGCTTTTACGGGAACCGACATCTTTTTCAGCATCACTGTGTACAAACAAACAAATGGAGCCAGGTGAAGCAAAGCAGTTGCTGTAGGACGCTACGAAAACATGCACTCACGTGATGCTTCGTAAGGCATGTGCTTGCAACAGTTGTTTGCTGCAAACTAAGTCGGTTGAGGAGCTTTTCCTATAAGCATCTCTGTAAATGCGAAGAAGCGACTCTCACTCATCAGAATAGAGCTATGCAGTGTAGGGGACCACTTGCACTGATCTCTATTGTAGTGGACTGGATCGTGCATCGGGAGCCCGACATTGGCGCCACCGGCGGCCATTGCTTGACACCAGGCAATACACGCGAGTCTATGGGAGGAATCAATAAAAATGAGCTTTTTTAAGCTTGTCTCGTAAAGAAACTTTTTGGGGTTTTGCGGTAATAGTAAGTCAAATAAGTAACACACATCTCGCTTTGCACATTTTCCCCATAGGGTTCAATGCATCTGCTGGTGTGAAGCAATAGCCGCCGGTAATATAGCACTCCAGAGCTCTATATAGAGAGAGTTTGGCCAATGGGAGGAGACGGAGGGAGCCAGTGTTGAGTGGTGAAAGCGTATTATCCCCGTAATAATCCTGCCAAGTAGAAATATCCGAGAGGACCTTGAATATTGCAGCGCAGGTATTTTTTGTTTCTGGATGAGGCTGAAAGTATGTAAATGGACATTTGTGAGAGATTGATAGAAATGGGGAGTTTCGAGGTGCTGAGTGCATTTACTGAGCCAGAAAAACGTGACATTGAAGAGAAAAGTTTCTTGAAACATGAGGCAAAACTGGGAACATGGGGTGCGCTGTAGGGTTTGCCACCACATTGTTGTTGTATTTGTTGACACGCCTTACAGATGGCGCCGCAGGTGCCAACAGGTTATATAAAGTAGCTTTTTTGGTTGTTACCTTCGTCTCGTCTGTCACTGCCCGGTGCTACGGCACTGCGCACGCAGGTTTGGGGTTAGGGTCAAAACTCCTAGGGAGCCATGTCTTCAGTTTTGACTGTGTACTTCGTTGTGGCCGTGGCTGCGACAAAAGAAAGATTGAGTGCATTCTGAACGTCACTGTGACAACAACCGTCATGTGCATTGCCCTCCCAGTTACGAAGAGTTGCAAATTCTAACTCTAGCGTGCTGAAAGAAATTCTTGAATACATCTCTACCCAGAAACTGTGCTTGGAGGATATAAGTTAAGCTTGAAGTGGCCAAATTGGCCCCTTCATTTATTTACACGCCTGGACGGAGTAGTAGCTGGTCCGAGAGCTTTGCCGTTGATCGAAGGAGCCGGCTGGTATCGATGTTCCCTCTCGGGCTGGCCGGCTTCGAGTGCTGAGTGCCCACGCGGAGCGCGGTACTAACGTGGCTCTTGTCACGAGCCACAATGTTTTTGTCGTCGCCGCTTAGGCGCAATAAGTCTTCCCCCCCTAGTGGAGCGAGCTCATTACCTCCGCTAGGGGAATGCTCGTGGCTGGTGATTGGTCACAAGTGCTGTCAATCAACGCTCTCAATGTCATTGAAACGCTTTTGGCCAATGACGCGCCTTTATTTTTGCCTTATTCTTACCAGTTAATGACTAAACTCTCTACGCATACCGCTCTGTACCATTCAATCCCAGCAAAACAAGCCTCGATCTGCAATCCAGCCTACTGCAATAGACATCGGTGACTGCTTGTCACAAATGCTGGCAGCCATGTTTGTTATTGTTTGGCATCAAGGCGAATGTGGCGGTCTCTCGATATATTACAAGCAGCTATGACTTATATGTTTCTGAAATGTGAAAATATGGTTAAAAAAGGACTATTGGGGCATGGAGAAGCAAGTTGACAATGAGCATTCCGGATGTCGGTCATCTCTTCGTCTAATGAGAGCTGAGAAGTGGTGCTTAAAAAACTAAACCCCTTTCGCTAATGGGCGGGACCTAGAGCGGGGCTACCTCCACCTAAATTGCATCTTGCAGCGTAAATGATGCCCTACAAATATGACATACATGTCCCATCTAGACACTTAAAAAGAATTTGTAATTCTACTTGAATGTCATTTTAAAAACAACTCTCTCGTGGGGAACACGGAGATAATGAGGACATATTGCCCAAATTTACTTTGTTAAGGCTCTGCATCAAGACGGTGGTTTCACAATCTGCCTTAAACATAGTCATACCCTTAGAGATATTGGTAAGTGGGAAACTGAAGTTTGTTAAACTTTTTATTTTAGCTTTCAGAGCGAAGTAAATGTAGCTGGCAACAGTTTTGCAGCATTTTAAAGGCACCCAGCAAACACAAACGGCCATGAATTTGCATACAATAGCAGTGGCAGCACCTTGAAAAAACTGCCTCACTGAGCAGGCATTGCTGGACAGAACAAGCCCTCTCTTTCGCAGTCAAGTTATGCATTCATGTTTATTCATTTCTGATAGTTCATTTTGTGGTAGAATTGGGCACCTATTTGGGTTTTACAAAATGGTCTTTGTAGTGCACATGCGTCATGCATTGCCCCGGGTCTAAGAAGTCTCGGAACAAAATGTCTCCGAAAAAATGGCCCAGGAGGAAATGGCCCAGGAGAAAATGGCCCCGGAAAGACTGGTCTCGTAGAAAGGGCAGACTCAAAAAATTAATTGTCAGTGGGCTTCATTCTTTTATGGAGTAAATAATTTATTCTCACAGTTTGAGGCCAACTAATTCAAAAAAAAAAAAAACTAGTTTTTTTTTTTTTTTTTTTTTTTTTCAGATTTGATAATTTTAATTGACCCTAAAGTGCTGTTCTGTTCAAATTTCCTAATTTAGAATTATTTTTCACGTGAGCAATATTTTAATAAATCATTTGCAGTCCAGATTGTTCCTCGTGTTAAGCCTGTTACAAGCCTGCATTGCATAGTGATCCCCGTCATTTTCTTATGTAACTGTCAGTGGCACTATAATATTGCATGTGCGGGAAAAAGATCCCATGGATGGCAGCTGAAGTGAGTGCTGCTCTATGGGCTCTCTGCCTCACGAGATGGAAAGAGCACAACTTCACCACATGAGACTGGGCTGTGTTGTAAAATGACAAACTTTCAAGCGCGTTCATTCTGGAATTTCTCGAACGGTCGCTTCTGTACATGGTAAATTGTCAGCTCAGTTGTGTTTTTCAGGTAATTTCGGAAGGAAGTGGGGAGCTAAAGCCTAAATTCTTTTATATTAACAATGTTTCTTGATGAGACCTTATCACGTCGTACAATCCACATTTAGATTATGTTTACTGGAAAGCCACAATGACTACCTACATTATTCTGGTCAAATTCGTGAAACCATGTTTCTTCCGTCTCCCGTTAATGCATATCGATTGCGGGGGTAAAAGGTTGAGCGGGTGTTCAATGCCCACATTGTAAACATTAATTTTGATTCTTCGAAGGTAGACAAGCGTTTCTTCTAAAAGCGTCATTGGCTGGATTCTGTTTTGAACCCTGCCATCTATTAGTTCTCTTAATCAAAGTAGGTACAAATAATAATAATGATAATAATGTTGTTGAGAAAAAAGATATGTTGGTAGTTCTTGTGAAAAACCACTGCCCCCTGAAAGCAATGGCTTCGACCACTACTGCCTGCTGTCGTTTGCAGCTTTGGGACCATTTTTTTCTGGGGCCATTTGTTCAAGAATCATTTGTCTTGTTTTCGCATTCGCCCTCATAGAAGATGTACTATTTCTGGTCACAGTACTTTTGAGACCGGTTATAACGAAGTCAACGGGAATCAGAAATCACTTTGCCATATCCGCTTCTTCGTTATATCTGAACTCCATAGAAGTAACACGCAAAAAAGAGGTGACACGGTCCGTCACGGGCACATGTTTATTGTGCCTGCAGAAAGCGGTCGAGGCTTCCCTGCACATACTCTCTGCTAAATCGGAGCTGCTTCTTGCAAAGTGCGAGAAGCTCTGATGGAGAAAGATCCTTCGAGCTACGTACGGACCGTGTCGACAGCTGCGACGGCCGCCACGGAGGACGCTGGCAATGGACCGCATTCATTTATGCACACTTCATCCAGGATGGCACGCTTTTGATTCAAGGTGATTGCCTTCGTCTTCCCCGTTGAGGTGCCGGCGGTCCCGGGCCTGTCCATTATTGAGTGGCGATGACTCACCAAATCAATGCCTAAACGCAGTTACTTTTGCGCAGAGAGCGACCACACTGACCAGCGACACAGACACGAACACGAAGCAAACAAAGAAATGTGCACGGCACCGAGTGCGCGCTTTAAGCATTTAGAAAGTGGAGACACATAAGGGACGATACAGACAGGACAAAATGCGCACTGCGGTTCGTGTTTCATCAATATAGAGAGCCTAGGTTTAAGAGGGGGGGCAGCTGCTTGATCTGGGTCATGTGGTTTGTGGGCTGCATTTGCAAAACGAGCTGCAGCCTGTAAGGAGTCAAAAGTTAAAAGCGTTCACTGTCTGCAAACCTGTCCGCCTCTCTCCCCGGTTTACTTGCCACGCTGGCCACGCGCGACCTAGTGCACGCGCATTAGCGCCAATCTGCCCAGGAGGCGTCCGCCGTTATTGCACATGCTCTCCAAGGTTGGAGTTTCTCCCCCTCTTAAGTCTAGGCTTTCACCATCGGTATGTTGTTGCTAGCGCTCCGAACGCCTTTATTGGCATGCCACGATGGCTTCTCCGCATGCGATGCAGAAAAGCCGCTTCTCGGATAGCAGACGACAAGGCAGTGGCTGCTGCCGGCGGCCTTTGCAGCATCGTCTGCGGCCGGTTTTAGTGGCTGCTTGGCTGCAGCATCAAAGTGTGGCGGTCTGCGACTTGGTACACTTTCCGAATTTGATTATTTCTTAAACTATCACAAAATTTCTCTTCGCTATATCCACACGAGCTACTCAATTTTATTTGCTAAAATCAGTGACAAATACATTGAAAAAGTGCAAACGGGAATGGGAAATTGCGATCACTTTGCTGTAGCTGCTATTTCGTCATAACCGGTCTCAACAGTATTGCTCTGGAATTTTAGGTTTCATCTCTGTAGGTGTGGAAAATTAAAACTGTTTTTTACACCATGGGGTACTGACTGAGGCAGACGGATTGACAGCCAGTTTTTCTTAGACCTTTGGAAATTGGCATCACTTGTCGTGCCTGGCATATGCATTTAACAAAAGTATACTGGGTGAACCTGTTAGCACAAACACGGCGTCAGTGCTTTTCCGCATTTGATTCGGACAGAGTATTGAATAAACTTTACAGGACTTTTCACTGCACCAAACCAAATCTGACGTTTGTGTTTTGACAGCATAAGGTTGGTCTGCCTTGGAGGTGTGGAAAAACTGCTTTATGCTGTAGATTAGAAGTGTGCAGTATCATTGCTAGCCTGGGGTCTATAATGCGCATCACACAGCAATGATGCCTGCCGGTACAATGCTCATCCATATCGTGACAGGCGGGAGTAGGGTGCAAACCCCTGGGTTCTGCAGCCTGAGCTTTCGCTCCACCTGCTCTGAGCTGTGGTGCGCTAACATACTCTGCCACTGATCCCCCGTTCCACCACAGGTTTTATGGCATTCATTTGATTTTCACGGAAAAAATGACAAAACTGGCGATGGCTAATGTACTTCAGCGCCTTATGTACATGTGGCTCTCATCTCTGACTGGCATTAGAGATATCAGGTTGTCACTTTCCGCTTCCTAGTAAAGAGTTTTCCCTTGGAATTCTAGACTGATACAGTGACAGGACAATTTTTCAGGCATAAATAAACTTGGTTTCGTGTACTTCGTTGATTTTATAGGGTTGGAATGCCCTGACTTTTCCTGATGCAGCTCCCGGTTTGCTTTGCAGGTTTACCTGACAATCAAAGTTCCCGTGTTTCACCAGGTATTGTCTCGGTCAATGCACGGGAATGTCTGACCAGGCTCGCGACTAACCGCTCTGTTTCTTTGCAGGTCGCTTACGGGTTCCTGGTGGCCGTGACATTCTTCATGAGTCTTAGGCTAGCATGGTGAATATCCCGCTCAGATTATTCCGTAGAATGGTCTGAGAAACGTTACTAGAAAAACTCGGTTGAGAAACTCACCTTTGGAACTGGGACCCTCGCATTCACTGGAACCGAACCACTGCAAGCCAGATTCAATTACAGTGCTGCACCTTGGCAGTCACTTCATTCCACTAGTTCGTAGTTTGGCGGTTAGTTGGTGGTACATAATCTGTTTTGAGCCGGGGACATTCAGCGAAGGCTTACTTTGCAGACGCAGATAAGATTTTTGTCTTTTTGTTTTCGTCCCGGTATGTACAGTTTCCGGATTGGCCGCTGTGGCAGAAATGGTAGCGCTATGATCTCATCGAGCTTGGTGCCAAAGTATGAATTGGAGCCAGTTCTCCGAAGCAGACTCTTATGGCAGTTTTCGAACTAACCACCGAATTCAGAAACCTCACTCAAACTACACTGAAACTGAAGGGCTCCTCCACGTCCTCGAGGAAGGTGCGAGGGCCGTCGCTGGCCAATCGCGACGGCGGATCCGTCCTCGCGATTGGCCAGCGCTGGCCCTCGCGCCTTCCTCGAGGAAGTGGAGGGGCCCTTCAGTTTGAGTGTAGTTTGAGTGAGGTTTCTGAATTCGGCGGTAAGCTCTTTGGGTGACCTTGGTTTTTGGCGAGGGTAACTTGGCGAAAACGCAAGCCACAAAAGGCTAAGTGACCGTGAGAACAATTAGTGAGTGACGGGCTTGAGTTGAGCTAGTTGCTGCCACTGATCTTTATTGTAGTATCGCAGATAGAGGCTTGACTTACTGGGGTTGAGCGGAACCACCGGCAGCCATCGCTCGACACCAGCTAATCCATGGGACTCTAGGAGAGTAATGGGGTAAACTGCAATTTGTTACCTTAGCAAGTTGTTCTCGACGGTAAAACTTTTATCGTGTTTTCTGGGAATGAAAGTTAATACCCTGGGAGAATGCCAATCTTTTTTTAAGTAAATGTATTGCGGTTCAGGGTTGAGAGTTGCCACTTTGTTGGGCGTAAACTGCAATGCGGTTCAATGAGACGAGGATTGCCGAAAGTCAATGTGGAGGCGTTCGTGATCTCGGAGTCATCAGAGCTTAGCAGACGATAAGTTAGAATGCATTTACTGGGGGCATTCGCGTCGTTTTGAAGGCTTGTACATAGTACTTCTGATTAGGGATGTCGCGAACCACCCTAGGTTCGATTTCGAAAGGTTTCGACATTTGCGAAGCGAACTGAGGTTCGATTTCGAAAAATTTCGATATTTTCGTACCGACCGAGGTTCGATTTCGAAAAATTCACAACTTTTGTCCACAGCGGAGTTTCGAATTCGAAAATTTCGAAGCTTTCACGGTTTCTAAAATTTCGAATTCGAATATTTCGAATATTTTTTTACTTCAGGTTCGATAAATTCGAAGCTTTCGAAATTCTTTGTAAAAAAAATTCGAAAACTTCGAACGCTTCGAATTTTTATAGACATAAAGTTCGAACAATTCGAAGATTTCGAATTTCTTTTGGCATAAAGTTCGAAAAGTTCGAAAGTTTCGATTCTTTTTTAACGCTAAATTAAAAAAAAAAATTTCGAAGATTTTGAATTTTTTTCTAATCCAAGTTTTCAAAGTTTGAAGTCCGATTTTCAAGTTTTTCTACAGTTTCAGTTTCAAATACGTTTTCACGACTCACTGGTTTTCACAAAATCAAGTTTATAAAAGTTAGGGTGTGATATCTAGATTGTGCGAAGTTGGTCAGGCAATTAAATGAGACACGAGTGTCCCGGACGTGCTAGAATATTTGCCAGTGCAGAATTGTGACCGCCAGCCCCGGGGGGGGGCGGGGGGGAGGGGGGAGGGTTTAACCTGCATCACGCAGTAGTGATTGCACGAACACACTGTTTTACGAGACTCATCCAGTTCGAAACGGCCAGGGGCGAGCAGGAGGTTGAGGCTCAGAAAAACCTTGAAGCGACCTGGCAAACTACCTGGCCACCCCTTGCACGCTGGTAGTAATCCGATCCGGTGAAGTTTATAATTGTCCTGGAGGTTTATTTTCTGGGACGGAGGAATCGCCTCGCAAAAAGCACAAAAGCCGACACAACTCGAGGTCGAGGAGCGTTCTACCATACAAGTGGCGTCGGAAGAGGAAAAACAGGGCGAAAGAGGGTAGCGGGGGGAGGGGGGGGGGGGGGGGGGGGGGAGGCTTCAGCCTCGTTTTTTTCCTTGCAGGTATTTCGGACTGTTAAAGAAAACAATACGGAGAAAGAGGGCGTGGTCGAGCTTATTTTAATCTGAAATTATTTATGCATATGTATAGCTACTGTCGCTCTTCACTGCATAAAAGGTTGCGTAGATGGTCACTGTTAGAAACTCGTTGTCAGAAGGCACTGCTCGTCACATGCTTAGTGGCTCAGAAGTTCAAAGCTATGTCTTTTCGACCTAAACACCTGTGCCGATAGTAACAAAAGAAAAAAAAAAAAGAATAAATGCGGGAATAAAAAGCAGGAGAAAAAAAAAACTATCAAGAATTCGTCGGAAGTGTTCTATTCTTGCATATTCAGAGGTTCAGAACTTCGAAACAAGTTTCTTTTATTAAAATGTGTACAGGCTAAAAGAAACACGTCCCAAGAACGTGAAGCGAAAAAAAAAAAAAACGTTTTCTTTTAATGACGTCCTGAACTTGAACACTACTAGAAATCTTCTGCAATGAGTTAATTTATTCCTTAACGTTAAAAAACAATAAATATATTATTTTGTATTCTGCAGATGGCAATGATATGTACTGTCTGTGGTGTTAATTTAAATGCGATACCTCAAACAACTTAGACGAAAATAAATATCAAGTTTAGGTCATAATTGCATGCAGATGCATGTTTGGACATTTCTTCGAAACTCACGTTGAATAACAATAATCACATCTTAAGACGGCACTTACCTACTCTATACATAGATCATTCTTAAAAAAGTATAACATATCTACCATAAATAGCTCCGGCTGCAGCGTGCTTCAAATCTGGCACAAACGATAATCGTCAAAAACCCGTCGTCCGTCCTCGCCCCTTCGGGGATTTATTTCTTTAAGGGGGGACATGGCCTCGGAATTCAAAATTTTCAGAAAAAAACGTTTTTTTCAAAAATGATATGTTTATGCTTATTAACTTCCAAAGAATGGTTTCAGAAACTTTCATTTAAAAACATGCAGGATTTATCTCAGAATAAATTATTTTCGACATGTCGGCAGCCCTCCAAGTCAGCAGGAAGCAAGTTTTTTGTGTTTTTTATTTAGCACTGCTTCATACTCGTTTAACCTAGCCAGAACATCTCACCCTCATTGGAAGTGCCATTTACTCTAGATCTAGCTCGTAGAAGCTTTCGAAGTTTACAAGTATCAAGGGCCAGGGGGACCCAATACATCCAAAAAGAAAAAATCCTGAAAATTTGGTATGAGCAATTTTATTGGTTGACACCTGAAACAGGGTTTATGGTTGGTCCCTCCCGGTGACGTCATATTTTGTCGTCGTCATTAACGCCCCTTTACAGTACCTTCCACTTCAGATCCTATTCCTGCTTTGCTGCTCTTTCTCAGTGTGATTTTCCTCTTAGTTCCTCTCAGCTTATCTGTCAGGGAATGCCTGCTACAAAAGTTAGCATGCCTACAAACAACACAAACTGGTAGCTATTGCCAGGGGAACAACAGATGCTCAAAGACGAAGGTGCTAACAATGCTCCAGGTGAATTTTGCCTACCTCGGACTCATAAAAAATAAAGAAACCTAAAGTTGAAACTTCAAATGCATTTTTCTCAGTTTCACTTTTTGGCAGGAAATGTGGTATGAGGAAATGTATCATTGGACATTTTGAAAGTGTAAAGATTTCATTCAGTGTTGTCCTTGACTCAAATTTCCTGAGGAACAAGTTAAGGTACTCATAATCTGAAAATGCTAAATTCTTCATGACAAAAACTGAATATTTTAAAACTCACAAATTTGTTAAAATCGTTCGCTCTTTTTGGGTGTTATTGTTTTTCGCTAGAATCACATTTTCTACAGTTAATTTTTACCTTAACTTGCACTATGGGTATTCTACTTCACATTAAACTAAACATTTTGTGGATTTCAATTATTATTTTTCTTAAATACATTTCCTAATAAAGTAACTTTTTTCTGGAGCTTGCTAAGCGTAGTATGCAGTAGAATTGGCCTATAAGGCTGAAACTTTAGATGTCATCAATCCTAATGGGGTTCAATTCACCCTGAAAGTTTGAATCACTTTGAGACAATGGTTCAAAAGTTGACCCTCCCAGGCCATGTCCCCCCTTAAACCTAAGCATGCCAGAACATTGAAATAAATGACATTGTCTTTCGTAAGAAACGCAGCACCGCGTGTAAAAGTTCGAGAAAAAAAAAAATTACGAATGTACCCCACTACTTGAAATCAAATGAAACCGACCGCCGGTCTTTCGAAGTTCGACGAACGTCGAACTTTTACCCTAAAAGTTCGAAGTTCGTCGAACTTCTGACTTTTCAGAATTCGAAAGTTCGAACTTTTCGATTTTTCTTGAAAAATAAGTTCGAAAGTTCGAAATTAATCGAATTTTTTGGTCAGTCAAGTTCGAAAGTTCGACAAGCATCGAACCTTGCAGCGCAATAAGTTCGAAAGTTCGAAAAATATTGAATTTTTTAGCGTAATAAGTTCGACGGTTCGAAAAGCGTCGAACTTCTTAGCTTAACAAGTTCGAAAATTCGACCTCCGTCGAATTTTACGATATAGACAATTCGAAAAATCGAAATCTTTCGAACCTTTCGAACCGCTTGATTCGATCATCGAAACTTCGATTCGAAAAAAGTTCGCGGCATCCCTACTTCTGATGCAAACCTTTGCTTTGACGTGCAGTGAGGGCTTCTGTGACTAACTTAAATTTGGAGCATGTCATTCATTTGTTGCACGTGCCATTTATTTAGTGACTGATGCAAGCGACGCCGGCACAGTCATTGGTGCTTCGGCAGATTTGATTTTTTTTAAATCGGCCTTCGAACGCTTGACAAATACTGATTCGATTTCCAAACACCCGAAATAATTATCGCAGCACATAATAAAATACTCGTCTTCGAGCACCGTGTACAAGCTTCAATATTCCTACTTTCGTATGTTTCTCCCATAGACTCGTGTATATTGCCCGGTGTCAAGCAATGACTCGATCCGCGATCCAGCCTACTGCAATAGAGATCAGTGGTTGGTGCACTGTACTAGGGCAGGGCCAGCTTGAACTTAAGGAGAAAAACGTGAAAATACAGAGATAGAAAAAGAAACAGAGATATGGTTTAATACTTCTTCCTCTTCGTGTACCTAGACTATTTGCTTCTCAATTCTGAGAGCCACATACAACCGCAGGTTGAAATTACCCGCATTTCAGCGGGACATAAAGCACCACACATGCTGTTTTTTTGTGTAGAGCTCGATGAAAGGCACGCTGACGCATGTTACTACCTTTTCTTTCATTTCCAAGCATCTCTTGTGCACACGGGCTTTTGTTTCTTGCAAGGATGGTGATGCTGTTCAACGCTGAATTGCATTTGCACTGCAGCATTTTATGCATATCAGCTGATGCAGAGAAAAGACAAGAACTCAACAAAAAATCATGCTAGTATCCTACGTTCATGGTATAACCTACGAATTAAGAAAGGTGGCCACAAAACAGGAGATTAAGGTTGTGTGTTCTGCACCAAAGAAGGCGCATTCTATGTGCTGCCAAATAAACCGCAACACCAACCTGAGGAAAATGTGCAACATTCCTCACAAGACACGCTCCGTGTGACACGAGGGTTGTGTGTCGCATTCTCCTATCGTGTGGCAAATGTTACGTTGGCCAAGCTGTCAGGTGCGTAAACGATGGGACAAGAGAGCATGCAGCATCTGTGAAGGGCGCTAGAGCGGGTCATCTACTATCTCAGTGGTTCTCAAATGGGGGTCCGCAGACCCTTTGGGGTCCGCGAAGGCATTCTAGGGGTCCGCGAAGCCATGCCTCATCAGCCAAGCCCGGCAATAAAACTTGTTTTTTTTTCAGGTTGAGAAGAAACTTTCCAATTTTCGTGCGAGTTTTCTCGTGCATATGCCATTAAGAAAAGTTTACTTCATACTAGCCCTTTTATATCCATTTATCAAATTATTATTACAACTAACCTATACCTTTCCCTTCCCCTCACCACGGACGGGGTCCTCCATCATCTCCGCCGATCCAGAAGGGGTGCGCGAAACATCAGGGGTTGAGAACTATTGTACTAGTTTATTGCCGCACCTGTGAATTGTGGGATTGTTAGGTACTAACAGAGGTATCGATAGAGTGACCAAAGGGTTATCTCAACAGTAGCAGCGATCTCAAAGGAGACATCAAACTTAGTAGCGCAGTCCTCACATCTCCGCTGCAATATACCTAGACGACGTTTAGGGCTGCATTACCATGGGTCAATTCGGTTGATGCCTCTGCTTGTGCCAATGATCAACCACCTTGTCTCGCTCTCGAATATAGCGAAAGATAAGACACACATACCAGAGTATGGACATAGTCCAAAAGCATTTATTAAAATACTCTCAAAATGAACTACCACGTCTCCATCCAACATGCCCCCCCCCCCCCCCCCGCGCTCTGGCAAGGTAAGGAAAGGTCCTTACCTGCTAAACGCGGGGTTCCGGAGAGCCAAGATCGGAGAAGTTGCCGATACACGTCCCATCCTATCGCGGTGGTCAATGCACGAGTCCCTCTCCCAAAAGCGAGAAAACAAGAAGCAAAACCTCCTCACCTGTCAGCAGTGATTAGCATCTGAGCGGGGGTAGCGAGAGAGTGAGGTGAGGGCCCTCCAAGACGGGATTCTCCGCTTCATGAACAGGTTGGAGCCCACGACGAAGGAGGCCGAGCGTTCCGACTTGCGGCCGTTATTACTGCTATGGCAGAAAGGAGATTGCAAAAATCCCCACAAAATGCGTCACAGTGTTCAGCAGCATCACTTTCCGTGCAAAAAAGAAAAGTCCTTATGCACGAGACATGCTTGAAACTATGGCCATCGAAGAAAAGGAAGTAGCATGCATCAGCGTGCCCTCCGTCAAGCTCAACGCAAAAGGAAAACAGTATTCGCGGTGTTTCACGTCCCGCTGAAATTCGAGTCGTTTCAAAATGAGGTCGTATATGGCTCTCAATATTAAGAATGAAAAGAAGAAGCTGATAGTCTAGGCACGCGAAGAGGAAGACGTGTGAAACCATGGTTGGTAGTCCAGCAGCACCTCCGTCTATTTTTCTATTTCTGTATTTTCACCTTTTCCACTCCCAAGCTCAAACTGGCCCTGTCTTTTGACAAATAGTGTCACCGACGTAGCGGAGCTCTCGCGCAACTGGCAACTTACTCGCGTTGGCTGGCGTAAGCAATCGTGTGACTAGAGTGACAAAATTGCCATTTGTATGCATACGCATTGCTGTTGTAGCTCGCGGTACGAGCCGCGACGCAGAAACAATCGCATTGAGATTACTAACCCAAAAACAATATATATCTGACAACTTTGTTAGGTATGACTATGGACCCCTTCGAAAATTGCGCCCTCTTATGGTCTATCTGAAAATACTCCGCAGTGGCTAGCGCAAAAGACACCATAGAAATGGGGAGCCTATCAATTGTGTCTCTTGGAAGTGAGTATTATATCAGTTGTAGACTTGCCAGCTTGTTAGCGTTTTTTCCACACACCACTGTGCAGCAGTGGCATAGGCAGGAGGTGGTTTGGGGGGTCAAACCGCCCCCGCCCCCAAAATCACCATCTTTTTTTTTTTTTTCTGTTAGTAAAGGAAGGCAAATATTGAATGACTACTGCCGGGGGTGGGGATGGCTTTGTCCATACCTGTCAATTTTACAGTGTATCGACTACTATGTGCGAAGATGAAAGAAAGCCCAACCACACTGCTGCACAGTACTTTTACATCAACCGTAAGAGGGTGTGATGTTTGTCTATAGTGCCTGGAACGCATCCCTGACTACTGTGTTTTCCACGTCCTGCTCTCAAGTCCTGCCGTCCTTCAATTTGTTTTATTATCAGTAAGGCACATACATGTTACTGAAAAAGCACCCATAGCCAGTTGGCTAGTTTGGGTCCATTAAAATAAGGCATCTGAGGCGTAGATTGAGCAACCGAGACGTAAATACTTCCAGTAAACAACACTGTTTACGAATGCGCAGAAAGTTGTTTTAAATTTCTTTAACACTCGTAGGTAAGTGCCGGCGATTTTTAAGGCTCTTTGGAATACTTAAAAGTCCTCTTTGAGTAGCGTGCAGCCCAGAGCTTCAGCTCTCAACATAAGCCACCAAAACAAACTTTCCATTGTATGAACTTTATGTCCTCATTTTTATACAATCTGTCTCGAAACTTTCGAAGGTTTAAAGACGTATGTAGTAGCCGATTCGTTTGGGTGGAGTGGCTGGGATTTTCATAATGTTGAAAAGTTGAGCGCATTGGTGAAACAATCGCAGGTTAACGAGACGGGTACTCTACGAAAGACAAAGAAATGATGCAGATTTTGTCGCTAGACCTGTAGAGTTGAACCTGCTGGTGAAATAATTGTCAAATGGGTCGTCTTTTTCCGTGGATTCGTAATTTGTTTCTTTGGACGCAGATTATATACTAGGAAGTTCGTTAATTTTGTTGTTGAGGTTCAGCTACCGTAAAATATTGGGCCAGCGCCCACTCAGAATTTGGAGGTAATCGCGAAAGAAAGGGGGATGGGCGCTTTTCCGGTCATCAATTTCACGTATAAATATATTGGGCATATTTTCTCAGATCTTACAGATTTGGGAATAGGCGCTTAGTGTGGAATGGGCGACTGCACGGTATTCTACGGTAGATGGGAGCTTTTGTGTTGTCTCTAGTTGAGAAATGAGGGGCTTGTAGCTGGGAAGAACAAAGCACCAATGCATCGCATTTCTTGACCGGCAACATTCATCATGAAGAGCACGACGATCGGCAGAAGGAAAGCTCTTAGCGATGGCAGCGCGTGTTTCCCCCTCTGGAAAGCAGTCTTGCGATCAGGAAGGAGCATTTCATTTGGCGGACGGCGTGTCGGAGTCATTTCTTCTCAGGATATGGCACTTGCCAGGTGTTAAGCGGCTTTCTTTAGACAGAAGTAGAAACTTCTTTATGCTTTTGATGTTCCAGGCAGCAGTATTTTGAGGTGTGGCTGTTTGCTGCGGCCACCCTCTTGTACCTGACAGGGTTCCTCGTCTGGAACGTGGACAACAGCTTCTGTGCAGAGCTGAGGTGAGTGCCCCGCAAGGGCCAGGGGTTGGGGCTCACAACCCACTCTCTGCCAGCTCTACCCGGGCCAGTCTACCGCCCCTGGTGGTGCCCTTCTCGCAGTTCCACGCACTCTGGCACTGCTTTGCCGGCTATGGTGCCTACATCAGCATACTCTACTGGTGAGCTAGCAAAGACATTTGTGTGGCAGTGATATCTTTTTTGATATCTTTTATAGTATTTTTTCAAGTATGTGCTGCTTTTGTTGTTTTCTTTGTACACTTCTTGTATACTCACCCTAGCATAGCTTCAACAGAGGCTGATAGTATTTCGGAATAAAAAATTATAATAAATAAAGTTACCGAGCACTGTGGCACTGGTGGACCGAACTGGCATGAGCGGGCTGGCAGCATAAAGGGCTCTTTCTGAAAACGCTCGGATCGGCAGATGGGTGTAATTCGCACTGAGTGTTATCATAAAGAAGTGCAGCTTGTGCTGGGAAGGTGTTACAAGGTAGAGGCACATGCTTTCTACCTCCGAGTTGGACACCCAGCACTGCTTTTAATGCGGAAGCATTAACTGTCCTATGGAGCAAGCCGACGTCATCAGCCGTGCCAAACGGCAGATAAATTCCCGAAACCGTGATCTGAGGCATCCAGCTTTGAAACCACACAAAAAGCGACGCAAAACGTCAGTGATATGAAGCCGCCGCGCGTCAGTTGTAATTCTGCCTCCCCATGGCACTGCGTGTCCGCGAGGCAGCGGCTCCACCGCTCCACGCCCAAAATCAGAGCGTGGTGAGGAGAGCGCGCGCGCTCGACCATCGACGCAAGTACGCCGCAGACGAAATAAGGGAGTGGAGAAACGGCGTACATGCTTTCGCATTCGCAACTCATAAGAAGTGCTTAGGTGTACCTCGAGCCTTTTTTTACAATTGGATACCATAAAGTATGTTGGGCTTAAAGAGGGGGTGCAATGGTTTCCGGACTTGGGTCAAAAATTTGTGGAAGTTGCCCTCTGACACTTCTGAAGTTAAGAACAGAAAACCGATTTCGCCTGCTTGTCCTAGTTGTGTACAAAAAAAAAAAAATATTGGCATTTTTGGCACTCTTCAACTTACTCCCAGTCTTCAGGGTCACACCCGGTCGCACTCCTAGTGACGTAATTCAGGGTGCTGTGTAGGTTCCCATGTGCTCACTCGGAGAACGCCGTCTCTCCCTCTCTCTGCTGACATTAGCGGGCGTTAGGCTGCAGCTTAGAGCCGAGCGAGGTCACATAAGCTTCTCGCCGTAGTTCTTCGGCCGCCACTCGCGGCTGCAGGGGGGAGGAAAAAAGCTAGACTTTTGCTTTGCTATTATGCACTGGAATCGCAACATTTTTTTAATGAAGACGATGTTTTCTCTATCCTCCGGGACACGATAAACAACCTAAAAATGACGAGATGCAAATTCTTTTAATCTTAAAATCGTTGAACCCCCCTTTAGGAGTTACAGTCTTCCTTTGGCACGTAAATTCCCCAATTTCGATTCAATTAAAAGTTGCAATGTGAAGCAGTTGAGGGTCATAACCTCTGGGACGGTGCACATGTCCTGGAGGTCGGGAGCCGAGGAGCAGGTACAGTGGGGGCAGCCCAGGAGGCCAAGGGGACCATCGAGAGACTGAGGTCTAAGGACGTATGTGAGGTTACGAATGTGCACAGGGAGAATCCGATCCCCCGGTTCTGCTGAGGCGGCATCCCCTATGGGGAACTGACGGGGATACGGGTGGGGCGAAGGACAGGCAGGAGGGCAAAGAAGCCCACAGAGCCTTCTGGTAGCAGGCTCAAATGCAAGTAAGAAGGTTAGGAGGAAGCCTCACAGAGGGAAAAAGAAGCGACTCAATAGAGGATTTATAAACATGCAGGGGGGCAGAAATAGAATGAAGTGGGAGGGGTTGGCAGAACAAATAAACAATGGAGATTTTGTAGTGTATGGATTGGCAGAGACTCATCTTAGACTTGGCAGGTTACTTCTGGGTGCAATGCAATCAACGTGAAGGGGAATGGAACGGAAAGGAGATGGATTGGGAGCGCTAGTGAAAGGACCGGGCTGGGAAAAGGTGAGAGTAAGCTGCAGGAACGCATGTGGTTAAAAGGTGATGTCGGAGGTTTAGACACCTACGCTCGCAGAGATGTGTGACGTAGAGATGACACGCATCTCTGCCGGTGAGGGCCACGTGACCTTCCCTTTCTTGGCGTTGTTTGTGTTTGTCGATCGTCAAGCCGATCGTTCCGCGAGCAGGTAGGCTCGGCCGCCGCAAAGCGGCGTTTACGGGTGGGCTAAGTGGGTAACATTTTTGTAATGAGCCGGCATGAACGCAGCAAGGGGTGGGTTAAACGCGCCCCCGTTATAGCCGAGAAAATGCGAAGAAGAAAAAAGTCACGTAACCCCTAGCAACACAAATGCATGACGCGGAGAAATGAAATCACTGGAGCATCACGTGACCTCCCCCCCCCCCCCGGTTTATGCTGCGGCATTTGCATCACTCTTCCATGCCCACCCTTTTGCAGATGGAGTCACTTTGTAGCATAAAGGAATCGGGGGTAAAGAACACAGTCGTTGGCATGGAAACATATAGGTGGGGGGATCGGTGGCCGAGTGGTCTAGCGCACACCAGCTCGGAGCACGTGGAGCGAAAGCTCGCGCTGCAGAACCCCACCCCTGCGTGTTTCGATCTGGATGAGCATCGTACCGGCGTGCGGTCGTGTATGACTACTGCGTGGTGCACGTTAAAGACCCCAGGCTAGCGGTTGTACCGCACTGGCTAAATTTCTCATCTACAGCTGGGAGACTTGTCGCCCCTGTGAGGCAGACCAAGTTCTAGGCTGTATAAACACACACACAAACCAACATATAGGTGGAGATACCCGAAATAGAAGCTCATTTATGCACATTAGAAAAAGTAAGAAGCCGAGGGAAATTGGCATGTTTTCGGGGTTGCTGAGCTAGACGAGAAGAGAGTGGGGCAAGTCAAAGCCTCCCAGAAATCAGAAATCCTCGGTGTGCCTGTGTCACGTAACTGTACATTTCGATAACGTCTTTGAATACAAAACTGCCTTTCACGAAGCTGTTTCATTGAAACATCTTGCCGTATTTCTGCGCCCTTGGGACAGGAGCTGGTGAGGGGCTGCAGAGAGGGACACAAATTGGATAGGTCCTGGAAGTATGGAAGGAGGAGCTTTGCATTGGAAGGTTTCTCTTCTTTTGCAGTTGTCAAGCCCGGCTGTCTCATTTGAAACAAGAGTGCCGAATGAAGGTATGTCCTTGAGGGAATGTGACGCAGAGAAGGGGACGGACGCCTTTTTTTTTCTGTCTTACTCGCTGCAACTCTATAGGACGAGAGTTTTTCGGTGTTAAGTCACATTGAGAGCAACTTGCCTGTTCTTGGTGCTTTCAGCTTGGACCTGTGGGCCTAGAAATCCAAGTTGGCAAGAGCAGGAGACCTTCAAGACCAAAGTCCCAATGATGGCCGAGCTGTTCTTTCCTGCGCCAAAATGTGGACGACCAGACCCCGAGTTCATACGCTAGCTGTGACGAACGGGTGTTGGCCCGTGCGATGGCATTTCGTTTCCCGCACGTGGAACTTAAAAGTGCGGCATATACTCCCACACTGCCCGTTTTTGGTGCAGTGTCGCTACAAACGCCTTAGAATTGTATACTTCATGCCTCTTTTAAAATGTTGACCTTTTGTAATCGCTCGTTTCATCTCGTTTGCTAAGCTACCACTGGAACACTGAGGTTAGCCTGGACGCCGTATCACTTTGTTTCTCCTTAGGAGGTACGGCGGCAAAGGCCACAAGCAGCAGCTTTTTGCTCAGGTACACGGCTTGACTGCGCATATTCTTGCGCAGCAGGAGCAACTGCCAAAACTAGGAGCTCTGGCTTCTAATCTGCGCTGCGGTACATTTTAAGGTGAAATGGAGCATAGGAGAGGCTGATTCTGCTCGTAGTGAAACTTCCTGAAGGTGATCTCACTGTCACGTGGGCCATTAGTCTAGCAACATCCGCGGATGACAGCTCTACGACGGCATCTGCATTTTCGCAGAAAAATGGAACATGCTGTACCGAGTACTTGGCTTTGTTGGCTTACAAAACAAAGGTTGTTGAGAGGCCCTAAAAAGCTTGAGAATTACATTTCCTTCCTTGTCACAATGTGTGCAACCTGCGACACTTTGAGTGGAGACAGGACATAGGCACTTTTTCGCATTTTAGTTGCAAGGAGTATTGGCGGGCACCAAGTTTTACTGCTAGGTCAGTGCCCCAAATGACCACTTTCAGCTGCACTATACTCGTTTTTACTTCAAGAACTGTTGTAAAAAAAGTCCTGCTCCTCGCAGAGAATTACTAATTTCCCGCTTTATGTTGAGAATTAAATATATGTAGGTGCATTTTAAATCAGATATATGTTAAGTTATCAAGTGCCAAAAGAATCCTTTGACAACCAAATCTCGTAAGGTATTTCATATGGCCGATGCGCAAAACTTGCTTCTTTTTTTTTAGGTGACGAGCATAGTAGTTGTCTTCATTGAAAGAGAAAAACAAAGAAACTTGTCAGTGGTCCATTTGCACTAACAGTATACATCCGTTCATAAATGACCACCCGAACTGTTCACAATTTATCTTGGAAATAAAAAGAAACCAACAGGAAAGCAAAATTACAGAATAGGAGTAGTTGATTTCATACCTGTTGCTTACCAGCTTGCTTGAATGCCATGTCAAGAGCAGACATCTGTCGCTCGTAGCAGCAGCATGCTAAACCAGGGCTGATCGATCTGAAACGGCGAGAGGTGCCTAGTACCCCGAGTCGATGATGGCTGCGGTCCATTTCCTTCTCTCTCCACTGTTGCTCAGCAGTGCACATCCCCGGAATTGCCTGGAGCGTATTTGACTGCTAGTGCTGACGCAGCCGGTAGCGTAAACTGATCGGTCTCGCCTCCGCCTATGAATGGCGGCGCGACAGGGTCGGCCTTACCTTGTTTTTGATCGAGTAGTTGTGGCTAAACACATCCTTGATTTCACCTAGAACATTGGCTCCTTCACTTAGGGTGATTTTCAGGCATGCTTCACTAAAATGTGGTTGGTGATCTTTGGAACGCCTCTGGTTTAGAAGAAAGTTTCGAGGGCAAAAAAGGCCCTTTATATACCATAGTAATCCACCCGAAAGCACCTTATTGTCCGCCGCGTGCAGATTGGTACAGATGTCGGCATTTGTCGTTCATCTCGATAAAATAGCGCACCCTAACAGAGAACATCTACACTTGTGGCTTTGAGTGATTGCTTCTCATTGGATGCCAAAAATAAAACATTAGCTTTTGGTTTGACAAAATGGACCATTGAAAATAGAGCTGCGAGAAGTGCCCAAGTTATGCAGCGATAAAGCAGGACTAGCATAGTTGCAACTTAGGTGGAATCGACTGTGCTTGTTCTTGAACTGTACCGTTACAGTTAGGTTGCAGACTTTTCGGTTTCAACCGATAAACGTCCGCCAGTTTCAAAAGTCAAACAAGATTGGTTTGAACCTGAAAACTAATTTTTTGGAAATTTTTGCTCTAAGCAAGGACTATTTTTGGTCAAAACCGTCCTTGTTCAGACGTTCATCAGGGGCGTAATCTAACCCAGAATCGAGCACCCTTCCCGTCCCGAATGAGGAATCGCCAGTATTGGGTAAAATACATTTAAAAAGTACTTTAAGTACAAAGTAAAGGAGAAGTTACGTACAGGGTGTCCCCCCAAAACATTTACAGGGTTTTTATTATTGCAAAAAAGAACTGCATCACTGAGCACTCATTCTCCGCCGAAATAGAGCCCTAGCTGCCCCAACCAGATGCCAACGTTTCAGAACTAACTGCTATCGTGTTCAAAAGTTAGAACCGATTTTCTGAAATTTTCAATGGGACAATGGTGGCCGATGGACCTCTTATAATATATACACCTGAATGGCGCCAGTTACCAAAAACGTGCGAAACGGGCCCCCTATTGAACTTTACGAAAATCACCTACCATCTTTTGACCGAGTTAACGGTTAGTACTGAAACTTTGACATCTGGTCCGAACTGCTAGCGCTACATTTGGGTGGAGAAAGCATTCGGCAATGCAGTTTATTTTGTGCAGTGAAAACTCCTTTAAACTTTTTGGGGGGACATGCTGAACTGGTAGTAAGTACACCAGCCACAATGTACTTGAAATATTATAAATACAATGTACTTGCAAGGTAAAGTAGAAGTTCTTTTTAATGCAACGCTTCATGATGCCGCTTTTATTTTTTTTACTTTTGTGCACTGCTTTGGGGGTAATCGAGGGGTGCATTGGTTAATAATGCGAAAGCATTAACTGTCCCATGGAGCGAGCCGACATTACCAGCTTTGAAGCCGGCTCCCAGCTATCAAACCACGCGAAAAGCTTAGCCAAGTGGCTCCTAGTTTTCCCGATCCCAAAGGAGCGGAGTAAAGCCGATGGATTTCGGCTTCAGTCCCATTGGCTGGCACGCGTCATAGTTTCAAGGAACGAGACTCTCATTGGCCGCTGCGCATCAGTTTCAACGACCACCACCCCATGGCACTGCGTGTCCGTGAGGCAGCGGCTCCACCGCTCCACGCCCAAGGTCAGCGCGCCAAGGACAGTGCGCGCGCTCGACCGTCGACTGCAAGTATGCCGCAGACGATAGAAGGGAGCGGAAGAGCAGTGTGCATGCTTTCGCATTCACTACTCGTAAGAAGTATGTAGGTGTACCTCCACCTTTGTTTTTTTGGAAATGGCGGCAAATATTGGACAAAGTGAAGTGGCCACAGTGTAGTTGGTTTACTCTCATTGACATGCTATTTAATGCAGTCAATTTGTAAGTTGTAAAAAGGGTTCCGTATTTCTGTTATTTCTTTTTTCATTTCGAACTTGTGAGTATTTTCCTTTTTTTTGGGCGGGGGGAGGGGGGGTATTTTTTCCTAAAGATTCGGGGTTTCTTGTGTAAATTGGTTATAACTTAACCAATTCGTACAAAAGACACAGAATCTGTAATAATACCCCCCCCCCCCCCCCCACCCCCCAAGAAAAACAACCCACCAAATTCGAAAAAAACAAAAATAAAACATTTGAAAACACTAAACTTTAGTTATACAGTGAAACCCGTTTAGAACGAACCCACGTACAGCGAATTATTGTCGATATCGAACTTACAAAAAATTTATATAAAAAGGCATATAAAAAGTACTGTTTATAACGAACAACATATGGGCTATATCCCCCCGGAAAAGGTTCCGAAAACGCGCATCCTGTCCCCCCCCCCTTTCACCAAAAAAAAAAAGTAGGAAAGGAAGAAAATTTTAAAAGCTAAAGTTGCCAAGAAAACTGAGCCAAGAAACGATTCAGAAGTGGAGAAAGCTAAAAAATGCACTCTGCACGCACGCACGGAAAAAAAAAAAACTTTTTATCCCAAAACGGTTGCCCTTGAAGAGAACCGATTCATAAGGGGAGATAAGCTATAAAAAAACAAAGAAAATGTCCACGCATGTAAAAAAGAAAAAAAAATTATTTTAGCGCCCAAGACGGAAGCGAAGAGACGAGAAAGAAAAAGAAGGCTCTCGCCTTACAACGAACGCATCGTGGAAGTTCGTTGTAAATGGTTTTTGCTATACCGAATTACTTGCTATATCGAACTGATCACAGCGTTTCCTGCTGTTCGTTATAAACGGGTTTGACTGTAATGCACCTATTTGTATCAGTCTTATAGCCTATAGACCGACATACTGTTTTCAAACAAGCCTGCGATTGTCCACCGAGTGTGGGCTCTGCGAGAGTTCAGAAACCACTGCAGGTCCGTGCGAGGTGAAGTTTATGCGCATGCGCTGTGGCAATAACAGCGCCACCGCAGAGATACGACGTCGGAGCTGCGGGTTGGTGTATAACCTCACTCGGAGAAATGTCCGGATGTCTATTCAAAAGACGGTAGCACTTCATCGCATGACTATGATACACTTTTTTTTTGTTGGATGTGTGTGAACTTTTATTCTCGGCTTCAGAAGTGGTGTACGCTAGCACTGGGAAACTCAAGGACACAAGCACATTGTCCTCTAAAGAGGCTAATTTTACCAAGCACAAGAAGGCACTGCCCAGATCAATGTGCTGCCTTTCTCGGCGCTTTACACAAGACGCAGAGTATAGTTGTTATTACCTTCGGAGAACGACAAAAGAGACAACTTCTGCGGAAGCTCCCTCCTGCGGGCACCCAGCAGCTTGGAGATTGTTTACCGAGTTTGTGATGAGACATAAATCCGCACCCCAACATAACTGAGATTGGGCCGTGGATGCCGAAAGCAATGGAGTATTCTCGGTTTCCCCACAAGGCACTTTTTTGTGCCCTTTGTCTGCCATTGTTTCTGTAGCCCACTATTATGGCAAAATGGTTTCGCAGAATTTGTGGAATATACTTTGAAGTTGGGAGTTGTATTTTGCTCAGAAAGTAACAGAAAAAAAATACTTCAAATACTCCCAACACTGGGAATTGCTGACCTTGAAGTAGAGTGTCACGAGGGATGGTCACAGCGTCTGCGTTCCATTCACGTTGGAGCTGGATGACAGTGTTCGAAAATACACTCTCGGTTGAATTTTGACAAAGAAAGTGCAATTTGCCATCCAAGTGGCGGAAGCACATCAAACACTTCAGTTTAGCACATGGAGCAGGAGAGTAGCAGGGTAAGAGGTACGAAAAACTCAAGCTGATCACGTTCTTTCACCTTTGTTCCAATTTGTTTGCAAGTACCGTTGCATTATGGCAAGTGTGAAGCTTTATAAGCATGGAGGTAGGAAGAAAAGGAGGTGACGTACCGTGCCTCCTCCTGTTGCCAAACTTGAAAGTCCCAAGTAAAGCCGGAAGTAGAGGTCTCGGTCGGTGGGAACGTCCCCAAGGGTGCCCAAGCCTGTCCAATAGCCTCTTTTGGTTTCAGTCATCGTTGGGGGCGTGCCCTTCCAAACCAGAAGTCTCGGCAAGTCTCTCTGGAGGCATCGTGTCGCCTCCAGAGACCTCTTAACTCCATGGTTCCTATTAATTCTTTTTTTCGCGGCTTTTTTGCTTCGTCAATAGTCACTTATAAGCATCCGAATGAAACAACTGGTTAAAATACATCAATTTCGAAAAACAAATAAACTTAATACATCCACATATCTTTCCAACAAATACTGTAAAATCTGCAGCATATACGTACATAGCGTGCAATGCTATCGTAGATTCAGGCACAAGTGCATGGTTTTGTTTAGTGACTTGCACTCTGTCGTGCAGATGAGACGATAAATGAAGCAGGCAGAATTGGAGGGCAGGAGGGTGACTATCTCAAGTTTGCAAGATACTTTTTTTAGAACAGAGGGCATAAGCAAGTTTCTTTTTAGAGAGGAATGCCTCGGTGAACTGGCACTTAGGTCAACGAAATAGATCTGTGCAACCAAAGTAAACTATTTAGATTTGGCCTTCTTACCAAGGAGAGAAATTTAGCCGTTTAAATAACATGAATTGCATAGATGAAGGCCAGCATGCAGTAATGAGCCTCAAGAGCTGTACGTTATCCAGAGAAAACAAGCCTGAAGCCGTTTTGACAGGTTGTATCGTCTAGAATAGGGAAGCCAAAGCACTTGGCCTTTTTACATTTGTCTCACGATCGAAACCTTTCCTCCCTGTGGACTCTGTCCCATAACTCGCCTCTAGTGCCTGTATTCCACGAATGTGGAAGGTCACCATTTGAAATATGCAGCGTTGCAGCAAGATGAACGTGCCCGGATATACAATGGCAGACAGAGCCGTATATTGGGAGAGTCTGACCAGTAGGGGCTTGGCAATAAAGGCGCTGGAGAGGAGAAAAGTGAAAGAACGAGAGAGGGCCGAAAAAGTGAGAGGAATGGGGAGCAAAGAAGAAACGACCGCCATTTTGACGCAATGCTTTCGGCGCAGAATACTGCTGGGGCTACGTGTAGTTTGCTCGAATAAAAGTTTGCTGTCAACTGTCGAAAAAACTTCATTCGTTAGCTTTTTAATCCACGACGAATAACACTATAATTTTCTTTACAGAGCCAATAAAATGAATGGAAAAAAGCGAAACTTGAATGTTGATTCCACGCATTCCACCGGGCGAATAAATGAAAATGGTGGCCCTTCCCGCACAGCTGGGAGCAGCCGGGAGTTCCGAGCGCATGCGCTCATTCCTCTCACTCTGCACCGCATGCTGATTGCCTTACTTGGGAGGGAATCGTTACGGTGGTGAGATCATAAACTGGCCACTCCCAATATACCTATTGCTAAATTACCCAAGCATCGAGTAGAATGCAGGGGTTGGTGTTCCACGCGCACACGCCTTCCCCATATAAAAGATTCGAAGTAAGTAATCAAAATATAGCATTGATGAATGTGCTTGCAAGATGCAATTAGTTTGAGGCATTTGAGAAGTGCAGCGCGTGGAACACGAATCCCTGCATTCTCCTTGATGCTTGGGTAATTTAGCAATAGGTCTGTATACTGCTCTGACAGCAGATACCAAGTCAAAAACTATTGCAGCATGGATGAGCCGTTTGAAACTGTCTAGGTTTGATCCTAACTAGACTGAACCAAGTCATTATAGAAGGTATTCGCGTGTCATTGGCTCAAGGTGCAGGTAAAGTAATTTACTATCTGCCAGGAACAGCTCTGAATATGTGATCTAAATCTGATGAAAGTTCTGCTAGCACGGTTTCAACTGCCAAAGCACACAACTAGGATTACCAACTCTTCAATGAAGAAAATCAGGTTGGGGGGGGGGGCAGTGCGAGGGAGAAGGGGCAGACAAAGGGGTTTCTACAAACGATAACAGGCACTGCCCAGCACCAGTGTTGCCCCGATTTCCGGCCTGCATTCTAAAGTGACAAAGGAGCTAAGGACGCTCGCAGCCAATGCTAGCTACCACAGCACTGCTTCCAACGATTCGTGCCTCACAGTGTGATGCACATTGTTAGGCGTGCATTGGATCACATAAAATTTTTAACTGGATGGCCTGGACCGAATTCGGGACATATAGCTGTCCCACAGGGACAGCAAGTCGGGACAATCCCGCGAAATCCGGGATGGTTGGTAACCCTGCACATGGCTATGGTGGCCAGTGAACACTCTCTATTGATCAACATAACTGAAACCAGAGATTCTGGAAGTACAGACTGTATGTGTGTACTTTTTGTGTCCTCTATTGAGATTTAGATTCACAAGCTCGCTCTTCTTCCATTATTGATGGTGTAAAAAATGCCACTTACTAAATTAATAAGGGCAGGTTCTTAAAATATACTTATAAATATTTGACCAGTGACATCTAGGTCGTAAATAAATTATGAATGTATTAATTTTCTTTTCGAAATGAATTTTGTCTAAAGAGCCCCGTGTCCAAATTTATCTTCCTCGCTTTTTTTAACTTTATTCCCACATTTAATGATCACTAGCTTTCAGGAAATGGAGTATAGCATGATCTCAAAGGCAAAACTTAGCCACAGAGAATGAAGCATTTATTAATGCTCTCAACGAGACACCAAGCAAGCTTTACGACAAACATCAACTAGAAGTTGCTACAGCAGTAAACAACCAGCTGTGCAACGCATAGAAACAGCTGGTCCTTGAAAATGTCCCAGCCATTGAATATGTTACAAGGGGCAGTGCTTGGCAGCTCACGCCAGCTGAACGTTGGCCATCTGCAGATACCGGTGCAGGAAGCTGCTGGCACTGGGCTGGAGTGAAGCATTGATGAGAGGGCCCAGTCTTCCAGGGTATGTCAGGGACAGCTTGTGCAGACACTGCACCAGGTGTAACCTGGGATCAGCAATGGTTCCCCCAAACGGGTCGTGCTCCCTCTTTCCCGCAAACACAAGCTGAGAGTATGCTGTCTGATAGCCGGGGGTATCCTCTACCTCTACGAAATGTTCGTCGTCTGGAATGCTCTCATCCTGCGGAAGCTCCAACAGGTCGATGAGGGCTTGAAGCAGTGGGCCCCAGAAGGAACTGTACTCTCCTTGGACAAGTGCCTCCGCTTCCGTCAGGAGCTTGGTGATGCCGACTGCACACATCTTGCGCTCGAGCGTGCCGGAGACCTTCTGGACGTCCGCAATGACCAGACGTTCCAGGACCATGCCAAACATCTTGGCCTGGATGTCGTCCACTGTCGCTACCAGCGTGGGTGCACCGTAGCGGTACACAAACAGCCCGAAGAACACGAGCAAGCCGCGCACAAACTTGGTGGTCTTGGAGCTCTGCAGCCGCTGAAACAAAAGCAAGAACACTTGGCGGATGTACTGCTTGAGAGCTCCAGAGTCCATGTGCTCCAAGAGCGACTGCAGTATGTAGAAGCCTTCGTGGTCATTGGCCTTGGAAGCAATGAGCTTCTGGAAGACTCCCAGGAGCCCTGTGAGTCGGTCTGCTGCCACTATTTGAGCCGAGCCTCTTTCGATAAACGCCTGGAGCAGCCGGACAAGAGGATGAATGTTTCCCGGCCGTTCCCACAGCACTGGTGCCAGAAGGCACGGGAACAGCGCCATGTAAGGCTCCGGCACAGGCGAAGTGTGGCACTCGAGCATCAGCGACAATAGCTGAAACACATAGGGCACAAACTCTTGTACATCCTGCTGTAGGATGTCCTGAAAGGCTGGAAACAGCGTGCCCTCGAATCCTGCCACAGATGCGGGGTCCTTGCGGCAGGCAATTCGGATGGACAGGCTGAGAGCCTCGAAGAGAAAGTGGTTGAAGTGCGGCTTGGACGGATTCTTACTTGCTTGCAGCAGCTTGGCCGTCAGACTCGGAAGAACTGAGGGCAGGTACGGCAGCATGGCATCCTGAAGAAGTGAGAAGGTTCGCATAATAGCCTTCATGACATACTCGTTTTCTGATGAGCCGGGATGGTTCAATGCCATAAACAGGTTCTTCAGCAAGCGCTCTGTGTGGCTGGACACATCTGTTGCCGCTATTGCTACCTTCCCTTGCGGATCCTTCATGGTAAAGAGCCGGTCAACACAGCTCGCCGCATACGTGTGCACCACATAGCTGGGTGCCAGGAGAAGCTCGATAACGTTCTGAAGGCTCTGCAAAAGCACGGCCTTGGGCAGCTGGTTGCGGAACACCATCAGGTATTTGATGGCATCCGCCTTGAGCACTGGAAAGTCTGTCAGGTTGGAGCTGCTCAAGTCGGGAGCCACAAATTCTTGGAAGAACTCTCCGACGTTGACGAGAGAACTGGTCTGAGTGGTGCCCAACCTTGCAGTCTGTGCCTTGACGGCCATGGAGGTCACCAGGTAGATGGCAACATCTTTGTTCCTCCAGTTCTGGCCAGGATCCTTGGCATACAATTGCAGCATGTCTCTGATGTACTGTGAGAATGTGACAGTTATCTTCTGTTCAAAGTACTTGGAGAGGGCACGCACCAGGTCACAGGCAGCACGCCGGCGGGTGTCGATGTCAGAGCCCTCAATGTCCTTACGAACATACTCTTCTGGGCTGTCTTCAAAGAGCTCTTCATCCGAGGTACGAAACTCCATGTTGGGGATGATGACCTTTTCGCAGATCGAGCTCAGCACACTGGTGTCCTCGAAAAGCTGCTTGTAGTGGGGACGTTCAGCCACCGACGACAGGAAGTGGATGGCATTGCTCACGAGGATGTCGTACTTTACTTGTGGACCGGTCGTGGTCAACAGATGCCAGACAGCGGTGACAAAGCCGGGCAGGTACTTCTGGAACTCTTCGTCATATTTCTGAGCATAAAGCCCCACATTGTCGCAGATCTGCGACTTGAGCTGCTCCAACAAACCAGCCTCCTGGTCTTCGTCCGTCTGTAACAGCTTATTGTCTGTTGTGAGCAAGGTGAGGAAGTGCGTCATCCACACCTCCATGTTGTCTTCGAAAAACTCCGGCAAGTCCTGGTAGTTGAGGCTGTAGAAGACTTTGGAGATGAGAACCAGCGAGCTGAAGATGACTTTGAGGGCTACCGGGTTGCTGGCGTGCGTCTTGGCTAGGTCCATGGTCGCCACGAAGAGGTCCGTCAGCGGCTTGGCGAAGTTGTCCAGGACGTGCTTGATCTCCGTCCAGAGCTCCTGCGACTTGAACTCGTAGCGGTACCTCTTGAAGAGCGAGTGTGCCGTCCGCAGCACGCCGTTGATCACGTGGAAATCGCCGCTTTGGAAGTAGTTTATCATCTCGTGCAGAAGATTGGGCCACCGCGCCGGGAAGTCTTCGCGCCCGATTATGCTGACGGCGTCGCTCAGCTGCTTCTGGATCTGCTCCGGGCTGCGCAGCATGAGGCCGACGATGAGCTCCTTAACCGTGTTGCGGTCGTTCGAGTGTATCCTGTCCGCGCCATCCTCGGACACTGCCCAGTTGCGCTTCACATAGTTTTTGAAGGCGATTGCGCCGGCGACTCGGATCACTATGTCGATGTCTGCTTTGTCCACGAGGTTTAGCAGCAGGACCGGGTAGTTTTGGTTCACCTCCACCGTCTCGAGGAACTTCTCCGCCGTGCGCCGCGTAGTCGGGTCGGCCTGCAGCGTCTGCTGCAGGTAGCTTGCCAAGGTCTGCACGTTATTGTCGGTAATCTCCATTATTGTCCCTCAACTGAACACCTCGCCGAACCAAAGTTTAAATGACGGAAGCATACTCTTAACCCAGGTCATCCAGGCTTGTCGTGATCCAGGCAACCGCCGAAAGCCCCGAAAGGCAGTGTCTGCGTCGACCCGCTCGACGCAGACACTGATTTAAATTAAACTAACTTAAATTAATTAAAACTAACTTAAATTAATTTTACGGCATAAACCACAGAGATCAGTGATACATAGAGATCAGTGAGTGATACCAACAAATAAGAGACGGCGCTCAGATAGCTGACCGGAAGTCGCTTGAAGTTTCCGGAAGTTGATAGGACTAGATGGCTATAAAAAAAGAAACATCAAAATAATCATGGCTGCTCTCCTAAAGAAGAGAGCTTTGGCGGAGTTTAGCCAAGTTTTACAGGTAAATTCCTAGTTCCTTGTCATTACCAATGTCTTTTACTCTTACCTAGTCCCGTGGTTATCGACTGTCATGTTTGGAATTCTTGGTGTGTAGGAAGAGCCGCCGAAACCCCTCAAGAAACTATGCATCTCCAAGAAGCCGGCGCCGCAGAAGACCATCGACGTCGCCGATGTTTTGAAATCTGGGAGCTCCACAGATGTAATCATGATGCTGATTCAACTGACGGAGGCAGTGCCTACGCAGGTAACCGTGACGCATCAATCGTTTGGCACCTGTCGCAATTAGAGAGCTTATGCCATTTAGATCGTATAGTGGTGGATTTTGGCTCCCTGTCATCCTGCCAAGTTTCGGCGACAACATATTTGTTCTTTACAGGGAAAGTTGTAAAAAAAGCCAAACGTTAGACAAAACGTAGTGTCTGGAGTGCCGTCCGACGGCAGTCTTGCAGAGCGTTCGATTGCCGTCCCACGGCACTCCACTCGCGTCTTGAGTGCCGTCCGAAAGTCTCGTATAAAACGAATTGTCAAAACGAGTTTTTTTTTTAAGCTTAGCGTAGCTTAATAGCGAGTTCGTTCCACGGCACTCCGCAGCGTGGAGCCGGTTCGTTTTGGGCCGGCACTCCACGAGTGGTTGCACTCCGAGTTCGTTTCAGCGTCGGCACCCCCACGCGTGCATGCTGCACCAAAATGCAATCCCGTCATGCCTCGCTCCGGCGAGGAGCGGGAGCTAGAGCACTATATAGCTCCTTCGGAGCAGAGTAGCGCAATCTAGAACGCCGCCTCTCGGCGACTAGCGGCGAACGCCCGGAGGTTCCAACTGCGGTCAGAAATGCATGGGGAACGTGAGAAAATCGTTGTTTCTCCAGTGTTGTGGGAATGTACGGAATCGCAATCATTTTTGACATAATAATGTAACACTTTAGAATAATTTGCGCTAAGTTTTGTGCCCCGTAAGGACCTGACTTTTTTTTTAAAATTGCCTGAGCGGCATCATGCAGCAGACGACACGGCGACGTCACACCATTCACGTGACCCGCTCCGGCCAACCCGAAAAGCCAATCTCCGCTGCGAGCAAAAATCGTCTGCTTCAAACGCCATTGCCTTGGAAATTGCCTTCTCAAAATTTGCACACGCATCCGATATTGTTAAAACTTTGATAAAGTGTTTAGTGCTTTACCAACTTCACGACAGACTAGTTTTGAAAAGTGTGAACTCGCCGTTAATTTTTTAATCAGCCGTGTTGTGTCGATCTCCATGTATTCTCCCATAGGGCGGGCCGCCTCCTGGAACCCTGAGTACCACGTGACTCGCGCCGAGCCGCGCTGTCGGCCATGTTGTCGGCAAAACACGGGGTTCAAAGGATTGCGTTACTCTGCTCCGTAGGAGCTATATAGTGCTCTAGCGGGAGCAGACGACGAGGGCTCGTCTGCTGCGATATGTCATTCGTACAGCAGAACCAAAAACAAAACAAAAAAAAAAAGTAAATTTTCTGAAATCGCGTTTTGCGGGCAACGGAATCGAACAGGAGCTTCAATTGTGAACGTGTGCTATTTCATGAAGGAAGCAGTTGACAATCCATGCTTTATTTGCAAGCTTTTAGTCGCTCCGTTGCAGCACGGACACCGAAATGTACCAGTGTCTAAAGAAATGCTCAGAACAAAGGGATCAGCGGCCCCCGAGATCTATCTCACCATCCGTGTGCAAGTGAAAAATTGAACATTTGTCTACGAAGCTCCCCCTGCAAAACCTATGACTGCCCAATAAGCATCTGAGAAAGCTAAACAAAGTGACTTTACCTGAGGCCTGGACAACATCATGTTTAACATTTACCTACATCAGCTATCTTGCCCCATCGTATTTTGTTCGAGAAAGCTCTCATTCTTGACACCCTCACCAAGGCTAAAATATGACCCATCTGTAACGTCAACGCTAGTTTTTATTTGAAGTCGGTACTCTTTCTACAACATAGATGGCGACAGCATCAGTCTGCGCTCGGTGCATTTGGTAAGTTTGCTCGAGGCCAGTTCTCCGTGCAACACTCTGCGAGTACGATGCATTCTGGAGACCACTCTAACGGTGCCAGTGCGTGCAAAATGAACTTGCTATTAGGTTAGGAAAGGGTGTCCCCTTCATATGCAGTGGACCCAGGTTCAATCTAGAGTGCCTTTTTTAAATTTTTTACCAACATATTTTTGTTGTTGAATATTCGGCAATATTTATTACATTTATTTTTTTACAATTATTACTGAAAAAAAGAAAAATGTTGTTGACGAAACTTTGTTGATTTAAATGGTATGGGACTCCTTTGTGTTGTTTTTTGGGATCCAACTTGATGTTACAGATTAGTTTCTCACAAAGATAAAGCTAAGAAAGACAAAAAGAATGTAGCAGTGATACTGAATATTTACCGCCTCTTTCATGGAATAAAGGGAGTCGCCTCGAGATGTGGGGGTTAATGTCATATTCTCAGCCCACAACAAACTGAGCAGTATTGTAATTGCAGTAAAAAAATGTGCAAACATAAGCAGTCAAACAGGCAACAACGAATGCCACATTAAGACAGCATGAAGTTTGTGCCTCACAAAAAGGGGACAGCCTACGAAATCCCATTCTGCGGACATTCGTGCATCAAACAAATGACAGCAAATGTCACAGTTCGTTAAAAAGAAGAGCATACTCCCATTTAGTAATGCATTGCCATGACTGCGACTGTGAACCATGGTTTAGCGACTCAAATATCTTGTACAAACACCAACCTCAGTTGTCTAGGCAGATAATTGAGGCCTACCGCATAGCAAAAAAGAAAACAATGTGCGTGAGCCAACCATTTGTGAGCACAGGGACAGTAAGATGGCTTTTTTGGACCTTGAATAACTTCTCCTTCGAAGAAACGGGAAAGAAGCGACCCTATTGCCCGCGTGTTTTTCAAAACAAGGAAGTTGAGAGCACCTTGTCCTGCGTGTAATTCTCTCCTCAGTGTTCTTGCGTTTTTTGTGCTGTTTTTCATCATGAATAAAAGGGAGTCGTTTACAATTAGCCTGCTATTTTTGTAACAGAACCAAACGCCCTCGAATAGCATGCTTCCTATGTTTGCATGAGAAAGTATCTTAAATAAGAAAGGATAGCTTACTCTATCAAATGCTTTGGGCAAATCAAGTTGAACTATGGCTACTTCGTCTTACTCATTGGATACAGTCTATCAGAGATCTTTCTACGTGCATGTTTGTTTTATTGTTTCGTTTTCATATACCACAAGTTTGGTGTTCTCCGATTAGATCATGTATAGCGAGGTGTAAGTGATTGTTTAAAACTTTTGCAAATATTTTATAGTCCGAATTCCGAAGTGATATACCGTAGAATACCGCGCATCCGCCCAGACCACACTAAGTGCTTATACCCAAATTTGTAAGATCTAAAAAAATATGCAGAGTACATTCATATGTAAAATTGACGACCGGACAAGTGCCCATCGCCCATTTTTTCGCGATTATCTCTAAATTTTGAGTGGGCACTTGCCCGGTATTTTGCGGTAGGTCTATAAGCTTCAATCTTTTTTAAAGCTATTGTGTCTTCTGTTTTAAGAATTAGTACAGTGTGACCCTAATTTAAAGTTGGCGGTAGTGTTTGGTGTTCATGGAGCTTTAAGGACATCAAGTAGCAATGAACTCAACAGTTCAGAAAATGTCCCATAGAATTGAGGATTTAGGCTATTAGGTCCAGGTGCCTTGTTTGATGGAAGAGCTTTTATAACATTTTGAATTTCCTGCAGGGTCGACTATTTCGACCGTCGACTATTTCTTTTTCCTCATCTGATAAGGAAAGCAAGAGGTTTACAAGGTGTTCTATAGCTGAATTCTCTTCAGTTCGGATGCCCCAAAAGATTAGTGTAATAATCCTTAAAGGCCTCTAAAATGTCTAATGTATCTATTTTTTTTTTTTTTTTTTGTGCTACTAAAGTTTACAATTTCGGACAAAGAAGGATGACACTCGCACACGAAAGGTGCACCTAACACCTGGTTTATTTTTCCTTCCAAACAAGTATGGTTGAAAGCATGTTGAAGATATAGGTGTTGTGAAGTGTTTCCGATACGTTGATGATTTTTTGCGGTGTTTTCCAAAGTACAAATTAGCAGGCACTATCAGAGAAAAGGTCATGAGCCGTTTCAGGGAAGTGCATGGCAGACTGGATTTCACATATGAACCTCCAGAGGGTGGTTGCTTGCAGTTTTGGGATGCCAACCTGAACATAGGGGAAGCTCACACATGTTGGATGTATAAGGCAAAAGGGAAGAAGGTAATTTTTGTCCTATGACTCCACCCACACTAAGCTAGTTAGGAGAATTGTTCCATCAGGGTGCTTAATGCAGGTCATGAGAAAATCATGCCTTCACAGGGTAAATGACAGCCTGAGACGGCAGATTGACAGTCTAGAAGAAAGTGGCTATCCAAAAACACTACTGGTAACGGTAGCTGAAAAATGTCTGAACGAACTGAAAGGCAGCGGCAGAGCCATGGATAGGTGGTAGTTCTGCCCTACGTCCACATCTCGCACGGGCTCAAAAAGATTGCATCAAAACACGACGTCCATGTAGCGTTATCCGCCCTTCTTAAAAGGGTTGTGTCACATAGTCAGTAAATCGGGAGATCACGCGGGGGGTCAAGTGGGCTGTCAAGTACAACGCAGGTGCCAGTTTGTAGAGTGCATTGCGAGTGTGGTGTAGAAAATACCTTTGTCATGCAGAAAATCTTACGTAGGGCAAACGGGCAGGTACCTAAATGAGAGGCTGCGGGAGCACAAATACGCGTGTGAGCAGTTGCAAGCTCCAGGGAATCTCGCAGCACATTGTACTAGATGCCACTGCGATGCGTTATTTAGAGCCATGTCTATCTTAGAAGGATGGAATGAAAGGACGAAGCGAGAAATCATGGAGTCTTTTTTCGTGACTTCAGGAAAGCACAGAATGCACGTTAGTGAACCGTCGGTTTCTCTCAACAAAAAAGGAATAGACTTGCTAAAAATGATCCCTCATCATGATGGGTAGCGGACACGTGCATCGGCCACCGCAGCCAAGATAAGAGCAAGAGATGTATTTACACTTGCATGACTGCGCTAGATCTGATTAATTTGGGCATCGTTCTTCCGGAAAGGTTCGGTGACTCCAAACGGCAACCTTCGCAAGCCGTCGCGTCAAGAGGTTGTGGACTTCGTGGCTCAGGCGTGGGCCTCCGTCTCCGAGGATACCGTGCGGAGTTCGTTCAAACGGTGCGGAATATCCACAAGGCTCGATGGTTCCGAGGACGGCGAGCTCAACGACCGTTTGGCTTCGGTAACCAATGGACCCGAGGATCCCGAGAGCCTCATTGACGAGGCGTTAGATTTAATCTTCGATAGCGAAAGCGATGTGTCGTTTGACGGTTTCAGCGATGAGAGCTAGGGAAATAAAAACCCACGCTGCTTTGGCGCACGCGTTACTCGATTTTTGTTTGTGATTTTGGTTATTCAATACTGAAAGATCGCCCACCCCACTTTTTTTGCCAATTATCTACGGCGAAAAGGGGGGCGTTAATTCAGGATTTTACGGTATGTCTGTCCCTGTCTTACTTGTTCAATGTGTCTTTTCTTTCAGCCATGCTTGTTTGGAAGGAAAAGTAAACCAGTTGTTAGTTGCACCTTTCTTGTGTGAGTGTCATCCTTCTTTGTCCCAGATTCTAAACTTTAGCAGTGCAGAACAAAAAATAATGAAAAACCAACTAGCCCAAACCCAAACATTATCTATTCTCATTTTTATGTGTTCAACTAATTCCTTCGTTAAAGCATACCTTCACTTATCTTCAAGAACCCTTTCCGCGATTGTGTCTCAAAGTAGACATTTTTGTGGGCGCCATCAAATCACTGCGCCTCTCTACCTCTCGGCATCATATTGCCCGAGTTGTGTTTAAGCCACGTTTATTTGTTTTGTGTATTCACCGGGACTGTTAGTTTCAAGTTCTTAAAAGCGTTGATAACATGTTCGAGAGATTCTTCAGTTCTCACCTTTTGTTTGAACATGTTCCATTTGCAAAATATGTGTAGTGAGGGTATCTGTTGTTTGTGTAAAATTCTTTTGGCGATACAATCGGCAAATATTTGTCAGCTAGGTTGTGTTCAGTTTCCATAGGCGCCATTCAGGACATAATGAATGCCTTTTCTTTTTCGCCAAAGGTAACTGACATGAGGCGGTGGTCTGAGAAAAATGCAGGTTTAAATATACATACAGCGAATTATTGTTGATATCGAACTAACGGAGAATTTAAATAAAAATATGTGTAAAAGTACTTTTTGTAACGAACAACATATTGGCTATACATGGCTTGCATTGACGTCACATCAGCCGCCATTGCTCCGTACCGTTCTCCTGTACCCATAAATTCTGCAGCCTATATTTGACACCATTGAATTTGTTTTTCTGGTCAAGACTTGTCGAGAAGAGCAGATTCGATCGTGCCAAATGTATGCCGCAAAAGGCTCCGTACAGGAACCTGGTACGGAGCAATGGCGGCTGGTACAGTGCCATATGACGTCACGTGCAAGGCATGTATATTGAACCTTTTCCCCCTGAAGAGGCTTCCAAAAACGCGCAAACAATTGTCTTCTAGCTTGTCCCTTTCCCGCCCCCCAAAAAAATGTTGGAAAGAGCGATAATTCCAAAAGCTCAAGTTGCGAACGAAATTGAGCGAAGAGAAGCGATTCAGAAAGGGGAGGAAGCTAAAAAGTACACTCTGCATGCGGAAGTGAAGAGATGAGAAAGAAAGAGAAGCTCTTGCTTTAAAACGAACGTATCGATGTAGTTCGTTGTAAATGGTTTTTGCTATATCGAACTTTCCTGCTGTTTGTTATAAATGGGTTTGACTGTAGTACCCACTGTAAATGGAACCTACTGTGACCAGAACCTCATTTTTAAAAATAATGCTCTGTGCTTCTTTTGCGCCCTATCTGTTCTTGCTACGAAAGGTCATATGGTTCAGTATCAAAGAGGGACCCTCAACCATTATCAAAGATGAGCTCATTTAGCGATGCAACCACTTTTTAATTTTGGACTGATGTGTTAACTGATGTTGGCATCTGCTCCAAATGCGCCATGTGCTGTTCCTAACAAGTTTCTTGCTTGCTACAGAACCTGCTACGAAAGTTCAAAAGCTACTTCCATCACTGCCTTGTTCCCTGCTAGGCACAACAAACCAGCATGTATTTGCAGGAGACCGGCGTTACGAAAATTAACTGGGCCTGACACGTAAAAATTGGACTCGTCAAAAAACAACGCTTGAAAGAGGATTGCCTTGCCTGGGGGGGGAGGCCTTACACATATCCAGTTCCCACTGACGAAATCTTGCGCACCCGTCAGGGTCGTTTTCATTTAGCTTGTGCCGTAGTTGGCTTAGAAGGGATGCCACTTCCGAAATTTGAGGATGTAGCAGATGCTTCTCTCAAACATGTCTGTTTGCATGGGCCGACCGCTTGGGGGCTTGTCGTCCACGCTTCCCGTCTCTTAAAACTTTTTCGCAAGTTGGGTGGCGCATCCTCGGCGATTGGTCGCCCTTTGGAAACGGTCTAACTCCTCAGCCACCTTTGGTTGACTTGAGTCTAGCGAATGTCCCCGACGCTTTACCCCTTAGGGCCACCTTCATCTACGTAGAAAGAGAAACAATGCTTCCAGACTTGCGAAAGAAATCGGCTGAGGTGCAGAACCAGATGCCTTGCCACTATACCTGCACGGTCATGCATGTTGATGTCACGCATATTGATGCCTCATTCTGGATTCTCGTCGTTACTTTGTATTCGGGGGGCTCGGTGTGTAACATTTAAGTTGGCTCGTTTTTTCCTTGGGAAATAGGATGTTCCAACCTGCTCAAGTAGGAGTGGTCAGGCTGAGCCAGGACTAGGGTCTAGCGGCGAGGATGACCCCCTAGATCCTTTGCGCCCGCACTGTTCCCTTTCGGTCCTCGTCTACCCACGTCCTTGACTCCCTTGAGCCCTGCAGCTCTGTACCCACTCCTCTCTGCTATCCTCCATTCCGAATACTTGTATTCTAACAAGAAACCAACGAGGCAGACCCAAGTTACTGCCAGGGATGACAGTTATTTTCAGGTTCTAAAATAATATGCTTCGGCCTGGGTTTCTTTTTTTTTTTATTTTCCCAGAAAGCAGATTGTAAAAAATATTCCAAAAGCCGGGAATCATAATGATCAAAAAAACTGCTCCGACTTTACTCAACAAAATTAATTAATTTTGTTGAGTAAAGTCGGAGCAGTTTTTTTGATCAAGCAGATTGTATTTAAAAGCAATATCGAAATGACGACAAAAAAAAAAAAAACTCTAGAAAACTTGTGAAATAAATCCTGATTCACATGTGTCGCAGTAGATGGAGCGGAGGGCCATGGACGTCGTTGCTCGGTCTCTCGGGCTTACTTGGTTGGAACTTTGAATGAATGGAAGAACCCCATTGACTCGCGGGTCGTGCAGCACAGGGGTGCAGTTCCCAGCAGGGGCCCAGGACTTTGTCCTGGACAATCCTCCGTCGGTGGACTAGGAGCCGGCTCCCTGAGCTCGACCGAAGCCCTTTCAGAATCCCCTCGATACGAGCCTTTTTTTAAATATCCTTTCATAGAAGCCCTTTTTCCAACTTCTTTTTCTGTTTTCTTTCATCCCCAATTGTCTTCTTCTCAAACGTCGTCTTGACTTCCGTCATGCGCACTGCAGAGGCTTTTTCTCGCCTGTTTCTTCTTTTTTTCTAACAGTTCACATCATCGAAGAGCACCTAGATGTGTTCGTTGCACATGTTTTTTAAACTCCAAAGTTTCTTGGAGGGGGTGTTTTTTCTACTTGCTATCATTCTTGGTGGATTTATGCTATCTCAATGTTGTATGCCCACCTGCTAGAATCTCCTTGTGAGGTTAGCAGTATTACTGATTAAATGAAAGAAAGGTCTCAGCTGCCAAGCTTCACGCGTGAATGCTGGGACCGCTTTGTGGCACCCGTTCCGCCCTGCCTCCTAAAGTGACCGTACACATTCTCCGAGTTTCGCGCGCGTTGGACGAGTCTCTGAGATAGTTGGGGGCCCTGAGACGAGCCGGAATCTCTCGGTCACCCCGTGGGAACATTTGTTTCCGGGGACAAGCTGAAGCGGACGTTGGGAGTTTCCCAATCAGATTGCTCGGATTGGGCGGTCCTGGATTGGAAGAAGCCAGCGTGGAGAAGGTCGCCTCTTCCCTTTATTGAAAGCCCACAGACTTGTCAAAAAGATGGACATTTGGAAACGCCATCGCTACTCGAGACCTAGGGTCGGTATTCTTTCGGAATAATGGATCCTTTTTGAGTAAGAGGTGTCGTCTGGGGGTATGTCTGCAAACTACAAATGAAGGGCAGTCCAACCTACCTCCATCCGTCGGGGCAAGTTTTCATTGCATTTATTGCCTCGTAGTGCTTATGCTAAAAAATAAGAATCTTGGATAAAGATGAAAAACAGTCACGAACGTATGTGGACGGTGTCGCATGTTCCCACAGTAGTCATCATGTTACTTCATTATAATACTGTTATATTATGATTTGTTTTTGCTTTCAGTATCGTATAATGGTGCATAGTGTTTTATTGGCTACCTGGTCCCACACACAAGCATTTTCGCTTTCGTGGGCAAGCTCGTTTCTATATGTATTTTGTGTCAAATAAGATGATTATAATAATTAGGTAGTGTTATAATGATCACTCGTTGCACGAGCGTCGCTTGTCGTGGGGAACTTGGCTAGGATGGAACAGGGCCAGCTTGTCCGAGGCCCCTTGTCCTCGCAGCCGGAGGAGGTGCTGGGCGTGTACCGCTGCCTGTTGGAGCGCTTCCCCGCCGAGAAAGAGAGCACGGTCCGGGCCAAGCTGGCAGCGGTGGCGGGGCAGCTGGTGCGGGGGGCTGCCCTGGACCCCGGCCTGGCCCTGGACGACCTGGCCGCGCTGCTCCGTTCCGAGACATCCCACGGGGTCCTGGCCGCCCTGGTGGACGCTCTGCATGCGGTCGGCCTGCAGACGCCCGGCGACAGGCGCCTCCGCCATAGGGCCGTGCAGCTCGCCCGCCAGGTGAGCCTTTCGTTGCTGTGTATAGCGCGACACATGTTGGACATGTTTCAGGCACCGTGGCGCAGGCCCTTTACAATTCCGTTCAGTTTCTTGCTTCCAAGTTTTCTTACTCTCTGGAGCGCTGGCCGAGCGCAATCTATCGTCGTCTGTTTGCGTTTCCTCGCTTGAGTTTGGGAGGGGTGCACCCTCGAAGATGGCCCCGGGGCACGTACAGTTTCAGGTTCATCGTATGCTTTCGGTAATTACAATATTGGATTTATTAAGTTTGGCGGAGGTCGATTGACTGCCAGGAAACTGCCCATTATAGGGTTCCCGAACGAAGTGTGAACATCAATTGAAAATGCCAGGAAACAAGGAACCGAGAGATTAGGATGTCGAATGGGTAACTTTTGCAGTATGGTTCAGGCTGAGGTTTGCTTTTCACTATTCCAGTTCAAGGAAGAATGCAAACCATATATATGTCTACAAATTCGTCCAGTCAATAACCATTTTGAACCAGTTATAAAAAAAAAAAAAATCTGACCAGTTAAGAGGGTAAAAAAAAATTGTGGTTTCAGCAAACAAGATCTTGCCACTAAATATTGATCTATTTGCACGGAATTTAGTACAGATACTGCTTGCTGTTCTTGTTCTCGAACTTTGTTCAATCGCTGTTCTTGTTCTCAAACTTTCTTCAATAAAACCACTTTCAGCAGCAATGACTGACTCAATGGGGCTTCAAAAATGGCTGCGTGCCCTGATCGAGTGGTCCTTGTTGATGTTGGCCATAGCATTCGCAATGGCGGTCTTGAACGACTCTTCGGGGTTGTGGAGCTGCTTGCCGGTCTCTCTCGACGACGCTCCAGACATGATAGTCCGGGGAGTTTATATCTGGAGAGTTACGAGGCCACTTGTTGGTTGTTGGGGGTTACATGGTCGTGCAGGTTGACAGCTGGCAAATCTTGGATCGCGTGGGCCGTGTGGCATGGAGCAGAGTCCTGTTTAAAAATGTACGGCCTCCTCTGGGCCACCCCTCCTTTCCAAGGTTTTACTATAATGCCAGGGTCTCGATGTAAGCCTTTGGGTTGGCCCTAACGCCCCGTTGAAAGGTGTGCGGTGATATGACGTGACCCTCATTGCTCACAATGTCTAGGACCATCACAGACAGAGGCGTAGTCAGGGGGGTGTTCTCGGGTCAGAAAACTCCACAAAACTTTTTTGCTTGTCCCCCCACATCTCTCTCACTATCCAATCACCCCTTTTTGTTTTATGGCGCTCTATGTTTCTTTTATGACTCGCGGCGTTATCAAGACAAAGCATTTGATATTATGTTTTTCAGTCCATTCTGCTTGCCAGAATAGGAATAGGAATAAGCGCGCAAGAAGGCATCTAAGTGCATAAAAATTATCCCAGCCATTTTCCTCTCAAGTCGGAAGAAGAAACGAAAGTCTTCCATGGACAGAGAGAAACATCAGGGGGAGAAACGCTTGAGCCTTGAGCTGTTGCTAAACTCACCCAGATTAGTGCCCGAGTCCTCTCCACGAGCTTGCTGGAGCTTGCCAAAGCAGGTGCCCAGCTACAGGCCCACGCATGCTCGTGAGTGACTTCGAGGGCTGGAGGTAAAGGTGACCCCTCACTGAATGCCCCCAGTTGTCGCTTTCCTTTCATTACCAGGCCCCTCTCTGCTCACGGGTATACGGGGCAGGTGCGTGATCACGTGGCAACGGATAGACATACAACTGGTCAAGCTGAGCATGTAGCTTGCACGGCACTGTCAGCTTATGAGTGAACAGTGTAGCAAGAGAGTAAACAGTATGAGAGCTATGCCTCCCCTACTTTTACAATTGACACATGTCGAGATATGAGCAGAAGGAACCACGAGGACCGCGTTTCATGTGCCGAGTGACAAGCTGGTACCGGATGCCTCGGAACTCGCTGTCGCGTTTCGGCCTACCTAATGCTGTGATGTGAATTGGTTTTCCGCTGGTTTTCGTTGCATGGAGAGCATGGGCACATTTAATTTATGATTTCCCAAATGAAGTGAAGGCTATAATCAGGAGGAGGAGGAGGAGGAGGGAGGGGGAGGGAGGAGGAGGAGGAGGGAGGGAGGGAAGGAGGAGAAGGAAGGGAGGAGGAGGCAAACTTTTTGTCACGAACAATAAACAAAACAAACTAATTTCAATCCATCCGAGTAAAAAGCAGTCGAATGTTACGTAAGGTAGCAGTAGCACAAGACAACCAAGCCGTGACCTGTCTTTCGATTCTAAACGCATTCCATTTTTTTAGACCACCGGAGATGGCAAACCTACACCAGCTCACCTTCGCCCTAACTCTTTTTTCATTAAGCGTTCCATTTTGCTTTTTAGGGAAGTGTTTGCGTGACCGGGAGGGAGGTGGGGGAGGTGGGCGGGGGGGGGACTAGGGGAGGGAGCTGCGAGCCGCACTTTAGCACGCGAAGAGCCGCAGCTTGGCCACCCCTGCACTAGATAGATGACGTAGGTGCAGTCGAAGGCAGAGTTGTGTCTACACAGATATAGTAAGAGAATAGGCTCGTTTGCAGGAATGTGACTTAGTCGCATCAAATCCAGTTGTCGCAATTCAATGCGGTCATGTAAACGGCATAATGCGCTAAGGAAGCGCATCACATTCAAGTCGCTAGACGGAGGTGGATCGAGACGACGAATGCGCATTCGTTCAGCCCATGTAAACGAAGGTCGCGTTGCATTTTGGAACGGGGAGGATTATGGTAAGGCACTAGCTGTGGGGGTGAGTGAACAGCTAAAAACAGGGGGGCGGCCAACCTCGTCGGCGGAGAGCGGTCCCGTGTGGTCGCCTGCAGCTTTCCTCCAAGAAGAAATTCAAGGTTTTATTGGCGCCATAAGTGAGCGGAATATAGCCGAGCTGCTCAATGAGGGTAGCCCCTGTCCAAGCCGCGCTAATCACGACTTGTGCATCCAAGTTAGTCCCTAGAGGCTTCGGAGCAAACACGAGCGACGCCAAGAGCTGCAAGCACTGCATGGCACCGCCGAACGAGCAGCTCCTACGTCGGTGCCGTTCCTGCCCGAGCCTTTTGGCCTCGGAGTCCAGTCGGTTGCAAACAGTCTCACTCGCCAGGGCATGCATACCCATGTTGCTTCTGTTTTAGGGCGGTCAGCAGCTTGGGGCACAAAGCGCTTGGGTTCCGGTGTTTCTTGCGACTTGTAACTTCTTGCGCAGCATTGAAGAGAGCGTGCTTGACCTTTACTCCCGTGCGAAATCGTCGAAAGGGCTTTAGTGCGTGGAGGACCGTAAAACGTGGTGCAGCTGGGGTTCTAAACGCTGCTTTAACCTTGAGAAAAGACATGGTGTAGTGCCACCTTCTTGTAGGACTCAATGCACGTCCGTGTGAACGTTGACTTCTTTTGAAGGACTGTTGGAATCGATGCGCTTAAGTCGCATTCATGTACGTGGCTTTTGAGAAATTATGCATCCTGAAGTACTCTTCTCAAATACCTCGCACACCCTGTATATTTTGTTACTCACGGTATTTCACCGATTGTAGGGCGTCTCTCAATTTTATTGCTTTTTCTTTTTGATACGTATGGCCTCCTCTATAGGGGATAGACTGCGTCATAAGTGCCAGAGCCAGCCGCCAAAACTTGGAGGCAGAGAAACAGTATTGGGATGGTTGGCGCCTATCTGTAAATATTTTCCAAACTTTTTTTTTTTTTTTGCAAGAACAATCTGTACGTTTGTGAGCCCTTGTTTATGGCTTACCCTCCTTTTGCAGTCCCTCCGTGCATTGTCCTGCTCCCACTGGGAGAGGAGCTTGGAAACTAAGAAGGAAGCCGGTTGTCTGTCTTTCTTCCTCAAATACAAAAAGAAAGGTGGTTTGTTGTATGGCCGCTACCTGTTTGATGCTGCCTTCCTTTCTTACGGTGACCCGGCAGTGCATGGTCCTAGTGCAAAAAAATATTCCCAGCATGTTGATTTTTTCCGAGCAATGTCATACCTCTGAGAGTATTTTGAATGGCTCAGGGGATTAATCTCTTATTAAAAAAAAAAGTGAAAGCCGTTTACCACTCCCTGTAACGCCGAATTGGAGCGCAGCTCTTGAGGAGGAGGAGGGGAGGGTACTGAGGGCCACGTGTTCTCGGGGGGGGGGGGGGGGGGGGGGGTCACGTGCCCCCTCAGAGGTCACGTGACCTCGGGAGGGGGTCACGTGACTCCCCAGGTCACGTGACCCCCGGGTCACGTGACCAAAATTTTTCCGCTAGATTTAGCGGGGAAATTTTTTCCGCTAGATTTAGCGGGGAAAGTTTTCCGCTAGATTTAGCGGTGAAATTTTTTCCGCTAGATTTAGCGGGGAAATTTTTTCCGCTAGATTTAGCGGGGAAATTTTCCCGCTAGATTTAGCGGGGAAATTTTTTCCGCTAGATTTAGCGGGGAAAGTTTTCCGCTAGATTTAGCGGGGAAATTTTTTCCGCTACATTTAGCGGGGAAATTTTTTCCGCTAGGATTTAGCGGGGAAAGTTTTCCGCTAGATTTAGCGGGAAAATTTTTTCCGCTAGATTTGACGGGGAAATTTTCCCGCTAGATTTAGCGGGGAAATTTTTTACGCTAGATTTAGCGGGGAAAGTTTTCCGCTAGATTTAGCGGGAAAATTTTTTCCGCTAGATTTGACGGGGAAATTTTTCCGCTAGATTTAGCGGGGAAATTTTTTCCGCTAGATTTAGCGGGGAAATTTTTTCCGCTAGATTTAGCGGGGAAATTTTTCCGCTAGATTTAGCGGGGAAATTTTTTCCGCTAGATTTAGCGGGGAAATTTACCCATAATGCACCGCGCGGTTACGCCGACGGCGACGGCGACGCCGCTCAAGCCGGGAACGGGCCCCTAAGAGCTGCGCTCTAAAAGGCTTTTCCTCTATATGGGGGTCATGGACGGTGCCTTTTTTCCCTATATGGGAGTCGTGCAACAAAGTGTGGCCTCATGGACAGTGGTGCCTTTTGCAGACGCTGAGCGACAGCAACCACAGGGTGAAGTGCAAGTGTCTGCGGCTGCTGAGCGACCTCCTGCCGACGGACGAGCGGCCGGAGGCAGCCTCGGGGCTGCTGTCCACCCTGAGCGACTTCAGCAACAACCAGGACCCCCGGGTCAGGACGGAGGCCTTCTGCGCAATGGTACGGCTTCCTTCTTCGAAAGTGCTCCCTCGATTCCCGCCTCTGTCTCTGGCCTGGATGTGGCAGGTGCAGCTGCTGCAGGTGCAGCTTGGCAGTGGCTTCGCTAGCTAAAACGGCGCTCCTGCTTTTTGCTGGGACCTCTGGAACCCACCGCCAGAGCTGCCACATCCGACAACGTACCACGCCGGGTTGTACCTATTGCCGCTTTGGGGCCACTTTTGACTCGTGGGCGGGATGGGGAGCTAAACGCATCGTTCAAGACGCCTTCCACTCGTAGGTGTGACCGGACCACTGCCCAGAAGATTTGCTCTCGGTTTTTGCGAGCTTCAAATTGTCAACGAGTGGCATCGAAATCTTTTTTGATGAGGAGACGCTTCCTGCTGTCTGGCCTCGGGGTGAAACATACCAAATTGTTCGATTGCAAGTTTGAATATTTGTTGGTGCCTATGACAGAGGCCTTTACAGTGTCTGGTCTACGAGCGAGCTCAGTGTACCTTTTTGGGTTTGGAGTAATCTCTCGAAAAGCCTTTTGAAAAAGCTCATTTGCAGTTTTTGCCAGCTGTTGCTATCAGTCCTCGTGAGGCCCATGCGTAACGGCGTTCGTAAACTGCGGAGGACAGAGAGATGCGTGAAGAATGCAAACGCTTCGGCATGGTTTAGGGGCCAAAAGCTTATGCCGATGATTTTTGAAGGATTTTGAATGTACCAAAAAAAGTTTTCAGAAATGTTAAATGTAAAAAAGTAATGCATAAAAAAAAAAAACTCCTATTCGATCTAAAATTCTGCTCCTTGTATCGAATCTCATTAAGACGTTTGCACTGGAAAAAAGCCCCTTTTGTCATCCTCGCTGCATGCTATTTTCATCCAAAAGGCACAGTGTTGGCTGCAGGCACGATGGCAGAATTATCCACAGATATGCCTATGCCTCGGGCATGGTCGCATCAAGTAGCAAGGGACAAAAGTTTGTGAAGGAGATGGACGCAAACTGCCACCCTCGTGATGCAAAGTCTCTTTCGGTTGAGCTGGTTGTATGTGGGGTGCTCCACTTGCAAACACGAACGGTTTTTTTGGGCATGGTGTGGATGGAGGCCTCCTACTCTCGGAATTTACGAAACAAGCAGACAACATGCTTACTGGTCTCTGTTCTGAATGCCTGGGAGATGTTGTGTTTGGAAAGTCTCTGCTTTGGGGAAAGAAAAGTTTCCACGCTGGGCGTGCAAACCGGGTGTCAGGGGTTAGGAGGAAAGGGCAGTGCGAGAAGAGGCGAACAGAGGCATCGTCGAGCGGGGCGATTAGACTGCCGGCGACGGCCCCGCGCCAAGTTTAGGACGAGCTTCTACGCCGATACATGTACCATCTCGAGAAGTGGGTGCGAGCACAGGGGGCCTTGCCCACAGGGAGCCAAGCCGACCGCCGGAACTCCATCGCCTTCGACAGACCACACGGGGAGGTGTCGACCATCGATGCGCCAGATGAGATGGACTTCCCCTTCACTTTTTGAATGAGCATTGGGATTCTGTTAACCTAGGTCAATTTGCCAGTGAATATTTGTATTTGTTTATTTCAAGAGCCCAATAACAGTTGAAGCCTACACATTGGTGCACTCGTTAGTAATGATACATATTAAAATACAAACAAGAAAGGTTGCATCATTTCACATTTCTTTTGACAAAAGAAGAAACGATGCAAGAATTGAATGCTTACAAAGTGTAAACATTATTTCAGTATGTGATGCGAGCACTCATTAAATTGAGGTAAGTTAGGGTTGAAAATGTCATCTGAATCCAAATAATTGAAATAGTAGAAATAGTAAAATAAGACTATAGCATCCATGAAGCTAAATATGTAAATCTTGATTTTGTAAGTGTCATACTCAGAATACTGAATTCATTTGTACATGGCTTTATTACCTAGCTTTCCGTCAACCGCAAAAATTAAATTGTCTACTTTACATTGGCCGTGCATCTTGGCCTCTCTTGACTGGTTGGACTCTGTGCTAGAGCGTAGACGTTCCACTCTGCGACTGGTCCATTCCTTAACAAGATCACGCTCGGAAAGGTTGGCCATGTTTGGAGCGTGTTTGCTTCTTTCATGTGTCTGCAGATGGTTTTTGTATGTTAGCGGCGTACCCGCGACTTCATGGGTCTCATTTGTTTGCAGCTGCGCCTCCACAGCCGTGGCCTGAGGCTGGATCTGTCCCTGTACGAACACGTCACGTCTGCACTGGACGATGACTACGAGAGCGTTCGCATAGCGGCCCTCAAGCTCCTAGAAGTCCTGAGCCACATCTACAGTGACCAGTAAGTTTCACGGACGAGGTCGTGAGGCAGCCTAGTCTCATCGGTGGTTCACGGCAGAGAATAACTAGAATTTATTGCGCCCTGAGGGGGGCATTATTGTGACCCTGGAAAAACCAACCAACAACCGTGGGGTTTGTGAGTTTCTCCAAGTCGGCACGCTGCATTTCCCACGAGTGCATTGCAGACAGCACACTGTATGCATGGTCCCAATATTCGTATGGTTGACTTTCAATCATTTCAAGGTCATGGGGACAGTGATTCGCTTTCTGTTACCCTAATATCCCAAGTCCGGGCCTGAAATTTATAAAAAAAAAGCGGAATAAGTGAGTAAAAAAAATTCCCATTTTTTTTTTTTTAATGTGTGTTATTATTTTGTAGACGAAAGGCACACGAAACTGTGTTTTACTTTTGCCACGTTTGTTGCTTGCACACGCGCCATGAACCCTACTGATCAGCATAGAGCGTGAACACTTGTTCTGTGAAAGCACGTTTCCAAAACCACAATGATTCCTTTGTTAGACTTCCTAGTCTCTGCTGATCTGTAAATTAAGAAAATGTAGTAAAAAAAAGGAACTGACCAAAAGAATAAAAAAACAAGCAGGCACAACGAGCGAGTGAAAGAAGCTACGGAGGGCAATTGTGGGGAACTACTGTGTTTGCATGATTCTAATGAGCAGATAGATGTAGCTCCAAGATATTTAAAAAGTAAATTGCTGCCGATTTAGCATGCAGGTAAAACAATGAAGGTTGAACACATACCTCATAGAACAAATATGAAACATGCGCAAATAAAAAAATTTATACTAGTCACCATTGTCGGAGTCTGACGATGGTTCTTTGCTGTCCACAGAGGTAATTATTGCTTTCGTCTAAAGCGTTTTAGGTGCCGCGCTTCTTGTACTAGTACGAGTGCGCAACCATCGCTCTGGGATGGTAGTCTTCCAAACAATTTTGTAAGCTCGTTACGTTGCTGGGATTGTGAGGCCACGCAGTGGTGCTCCGTTGTTATCTTTTCCCGCCAGCATGATGGCCTTTCGTTTAAGGGGGACACTGGCTAGATGTTGAACGTCCTCCTGTGTTCTTTATTCATAGGCTACCCTGCATTGCCCGGAGGTGTTATTGCTGGGGTTCACAGTTTTGTATCTTCATTTGGGGTACAGCACACTTGGTCTTCAGTCACCCTATTCCACTCTACAATGGTTTTAACAAAAAAAAAACTTTCGGCTTTTCCACTCTCGTGAAGAAGGAAGAGCAGCCGAGCTGTATTCGACACACTGCCGCAACGCGCACGCGCCCGATTCCCACTTCTTGTTTGACACGCCGCCGATCGTGGATATGTCTCCGGCGAACCAGAGTCGGTCGCACATGGTGCACGTGACGCAAAACGTTTTTTCCACGAACTTTCTCCGGACCCTAGCAGTCGCACCCGGGAACTGTTCAGCCAGCGAGCCAGCGTGGAGTGCAGTTGTCGCTTCGCGCTTGCGCTTGGCCTCCGTGGCACGATCGTCGTCCGTGGCGCTAGCCCGCCGGCGCCCTTTACATCGCTGGTTCTGTTCTCGGCGGCGGCTTTCCAGGCAAGCAATGTGCTCTTTGGCAAGGGAATCTGAAGCGCTGGACGCAGTGGAAGTCGAGGCAACGGCGGCTTTGCGGTGGTTATGGACCCATTCGCACTGGTGCATATGTTGCCGCTCCTTCCGCAGCCGCGCGCAGCCGACCCATCGTGAGTCCAAACTGAAACTGGTAGGAGCGTAGGAAACAGCGCGCAAAACAGACAAGGACAAAGAAACAAACCTGACGAGCGCTGCGCTCTTTACGTCTGCTTCTTCGTCGTCGTCGTCTGTTTTTCGCGCTGTTTCCTACGATGAATTCCCACCAACGCACCCAACTATAAACTCTTCTATGATAGCTGTAGAGTTTCGTCTTTTTGATTTTTGTACACAGACTGTTTAGGTGGTCCCTCTCAAGTAGCCCCACAATGGCCTGTTTACATCCTTTGCTTAGTTTTTCTTCGACACTAATAAAGTTTTTGGTCATGGCTGCCGAGGCCTTGTCTCCATACCTCCCCAAATCCAGCACAACAAACCCCTAAGGCTGCGAAATGCTGTTAATGAATACTTTAGCGAGGCCAATAGAAAAAATTCCATACTCGGCCTAGGATGAACAAAATGTCTCTCGAGCACTTAATTTATTTGAAGAAAACAGCCGGAGACAATATTGTTTTCCTTTTTACTGCGTCATTACAGGGGAGCTTTCCAAATGGCAAATTCCAGAAATGATTGGTGTCCACAAAAATTAAACAGTGAGCACTAAACTTGCGAGTCGATCTGTTCATTGCGATTCAGCATCTCATCACAAAATGTAAGCACATTAGACTGTCAACTCGCCTTGGCACAATGCCTTTGTGCATTATTATCTTTATGGAAACCAGTGTGAATCGATACGGCCATTGCAACAACAAATAATGGAAGTCCTCCTCCTGCATCAGTTATGTCGTCCCGCCGCAAGACGCGGCCAAACGACGAACGTGACCGGACAAAGATCTGAATAAAAAAAATGTAAATTTAGGTTCATAGTACAGCTGTATCTTTGGCTGTGTACCACAAGGAAGACATTTGTGTTCCGAAATTAAGGGAGAACAACATAATACACCAACACGGCCGCAAGCGCACTGAAAACAAAACAAACCGAATTGAGGTCGCCATATGGCCCCGAGCACGTCGGCACCCTCTCTCCGCCGGTCAAATAGCTACAGAGATGAAAAGGTCAATATATAATGATAGCATGATATATCGATAGTTATACGTACCAATAATTTTTTGTCTAATAGCTTCTGTTTCCTATCCCAATTCTTAATTGCAACTTTACTTTTGGAAGATTTTTTTTTAGACATGCTTTGAACAGGTTCCTGCAGGTGTGGGGTACATATGAGCAAGAAAGCTATGCATATAAGAAACAAGAAACACATGGTAACCATATATTGCTTATACAACAACATGTAAATATATAAATGCCATCAGCCTAATAAACATTTCTTAATCAGTGCCCAATAAACAATACAAAATGCATGTACGAACACCAGGGAAGGACAACATTCAAAAGGTGTGATTCTCAAGAGCACCATTGAAGTCGGGAACAAAAAAAAATGTCACAAGGGAGAACGTTCCAATCTATAATAGTGCGTGGGAAAAAGGAATACTTAAAAATCTTAGTCCGAGCAAATATATTGGTACCGGGGAATACTGATGATGGTGCCTAGTTTCCCCTAGAGGATCATGAAGATAAATATAGGCTTGGTTTAGCGCAGAGTCTGCTATGATAAAGCAAAAACAAAATTTATGTCGCAATTTTTCGAGTGATGATATATTGCAGGGGTGGCCAAGCTGCGGCTCTTTGTGTGTTAAAGTGCGGCTCGTGGCACCCGCCTCTAACCTTCCCCCCCCGGGCACATGAGCACTTCCCCAAAAAGAGAAATGGAACGCGTTTTAAATCGAAGGACAGGTTGTGGTTTGGTAGTCTTATGCTACTGCTACCTTACGTACAGTTAGACTGCTTTTGACTCGGATAGATTGAAAGACGTTTGAGTTTCGTGTATTGCTCCAGACATAAGTCCCCCCCCCGCCGCTCTTAGAAGTTCCTGTTTGCGGCTCTTAGGCCGGGTCAGTCTGGCCACCTTTGATATATTGTTTGCATCATTAATGAAGATTGGGAATCTAGCTGATTATACTTTCCATAGATGAAGCAAAGAGTTCTCCTCTGAACCATCTCAAGCTGTGATGCAACTTTTTTGGTATTTGGGCATATTCTAACTTCAGTCAGACCAAGGAATTATATGCTTGCAATTTAACGGAAGGGGCGGCGCTTCTAAGTTTCTGACGTAGCGAGCCCAGTTCATGAGATACGGAGGAACAGATGTTTTGAATGTGTTGTGGCCAATGGAGATTGTGGGATATGGTTACACCGAGTTATTTATATTCAGTCGCATCTTATATTACATTATTGCAGCGGAGCTGTTAAGGGCTAGTTTCCCGGGGTTCATGTCCCCCGCAAAAAAATGTTGACACAAAACTCTGGTTGCCGTCGTCGCTCATAGATGGCGGCAATATTTCTTCGGGGGAAGAAGCGCAGGAATGGAATGAGCGGCAAAGTGTGCGCAGCAGCTGGAATGGTTTCGTAACCGCCAGGAGGCCGCTATTGCCTTAAGTTACACTGCATTTAGCGCTTCAGATTCCCTTGCGAAAGAAGAGCAGATCGCTTGCCTGGAAAGCCACCATCGAGAACAGTAGCTACAGCTCCGCTGCTCTCCCTTCTTCACCAAAGTCTTAAGGCCGAAAGTTCTTTATTAATAAGTGAACATCAGTGGCTTCACTTTTCTTGTTATACGTAAATGAACAGTTCTCGTGTATAGCATGTGCGTGCCAATAAAGGCTAGTTTCTGCAACGATAGATCTAAGTGCGATTTGGCATTGTACCACCGCACCCGACGGTGGCCAAAGCCACCATGCGCAACTTCTCAGGAGGTGTTTTGCACCTGTAGTGCGGTGCTCAGAAGGCGTCTGTGACTGGTGTGTTTACCGCGTTCTAAAAAACGTAGATTTCTGCCCGAGCACGTCATACGAGTGCCGTCCCTGGCCACAATCCTGGCGGTGTCGCAGACTGCTGTAAGTCCTTCTCCAACTTGACAGTCAAAGAAAGGTTCGGCAGCTGGGAGCCGGGAACCTGCGGCGCACGGGGGCACTCGTGTTTTGTATGGCGCCAGCCGCCAGGACGGCGACGGCACGAGGTGCCAGCTCTCGGGACAACCTTTGTCTTTGGGAGCTTTTCGATGCGCGGGCAGAATGTACGCAGGTTGCAGACGCGTTCCAGGCACATTAGGCTCCTGCCAGAATCGGCACTCGGCCATTACCGAGGTCTGCGGAGTCACTGACGGGCAGATCTGGCATCCGTTTCTCGCAGCCTGGTGCGGGTCCGGAACAGCCAGGAGCAGATCCGGCTCGCCGACGACGCCTTTGCCAAGATCTGCCAGATGATCGGCGACCTCTCCATGAACGTCAGGATAGAGGCCGCCTCCCTCATGGCAAGTGGCCGCCCCCGCGCAATCTGCGCCCCCACGGCTCTTCGAGGGGCGCGCTCAGCCCGACTCTTTCCAGGGCACGATGGACCACGTGAGCTCTCACTTCCTGGAGCAGACGCTCGACAAGAAGCTCATGTCCAATTTAAGGGTGAGGTCCCGTCTCGCGTATTTCGCACACTTCACCGTCCGGGGAGTCCGTTGAAGCTCATGGTCGAGTTGCCAGGGTACCTTTATACGCTGACGAGCTGAGAGGGGCAGAAAGGAGCTTCCCTCGCACCCGCTTCCTACCTTCGGTGATGCCTGGTCGTTTTGTGCACCTTGAGTGCATGCACAAAGCCAGGTCACGGCACGCGCTGGAGGTCGGGCGTCTGAAAGACGCGCCCCGCTGTTCTCATCCTGCCGGTGACTAGAACTGCGGAATATTTACGTATGCGCGGGAAAAGTTTTATTGTGCCTCTTTGCACTCTAGCGACCTAGAGCTCTATATGGGCCCAGGCCAAACCGAAAGCCCGAATGGGTTGTCTAGCTTGCATTGTTCTCGAGCCCGCGCAGGGCCCTAGTCGCTCTTCATCTCCCACCGCTGAGGCATTGCCGACGGTAGGAGATGTCCTCGTCCTCTTGAGATGCACTGTGCAACCTCAAAACCCCCGATAATCAATAGCGAAGTACCGTCAATCTCACAAGGGATTTCAACGGGACTGAACGCTCACATACAAAAGAATGCATCGTGCATAGAAAGAACATCATAGTAGATCGTTTGCATATATATGCTTAAGGGGAAAACTAATTAGACAGGAAAAGTAAAACATACGAATATAGCACTTATTACGCAAATACACGACGGCTTTTCCGCGTGCGATGCGGTAAAGCCACTTCCCAGAGAAGGAGCTTCCCAGATGCTTGCTCTGAAGGCAGCAACGTCAACACCCATGACAAAAACGCACTGGAGCTAGGTAAGACAGAATCACAATTCGGGGATTCACAGCCACTTCAAGTGAAAACTAAGTTCAAGTGTCGGAAGCTTAGTGCTCGTCTGCAGCGATCTTTGACAGCGCTAAAGGGCCCCTGAAAGGAAATAAAATGTTTCTTTTAAGAATAATGGTGGGGACCTTCATGTCAAAAAATAAACCTTATGTGAAAAAAAAAATTTTTTTAGATCAAAATTGACGGCGAGAGATTTATTTCAAATTCTGCGCCATGACGTCATGGAATGGTCATTCGCTCAACGAGATGGTAATTCGCTCTTTCCACCTCAATGTGAAGGCGAAGCCGATTCACGTACCCTTCACGCGCCCAAAATGCCGAGAGAAAACAAGTGGAAAGGAGGTGACTACCGACTAAATCGCGTCTCGCACTGTCAATATTTCTCAAAAAACATTTTTTTTTTCGTGTAATATTAATTTTTTGACAGGTGTGCTGTAAAATTTTTTTTTTGCTTTTGAGGTTTATTTTTTAAAGGGAGCGGTTCTGGGCCATGAATACCGCGATGTTCCTTGCCGCGCTTGCTTTTGTAGGCAACTGCTGGGCTGACGTGTGCAACACATTGCTTGGTCACGAGGTTTCTTTTTCGCTGAGTCAAGCAGGTGCCTGCATTGTTATCTTGTGGGAGACCCAGGCGTCGTTTATCAATGTCGAGATGCCCAGTGGTCTGTTCGCTTGAAATCCTTCAGCAATTTTCGACGGTGTTGGAGGGAGCGGTTCTGGGTCGTGAAAAGGGATATACTGGCATTATACGCGAGATACATTTAAATACAAACTACCTGGTGTAAAAGTGGGATGGAAGTGAGGTTTTATCCCAAGTGAAGTGTGTGATTAATTTTTCAACCATTTTTTGAGTATCCGACCGACGTACATGTAAGTTACTCTGACCCGAGCCTTATTTCTAAATAAAGTGCTTTGCGTTCATTTTGCACCCTATATGCTCTTATTACAAAAAGTAATAAGTGCTTCAGTATCAAGGACGAACTCGTATAGCGATGCCATCACTTTTTTATTTGTTGCCGTCAGCTCCGAAGGAATATTTTGCCCGCCACAGAACCTGCTACTACCAAAGGTTCAATCACTAGGAAAGCAAACTCTTTTGCGACGTCCTTTTCGGCCAATTTCTTGGTATCCACGGGCAGAACGGAACGCCCTCTGTGTTGGTGGCACTGCAAAAGGGTCCGCCCCTGACCTGGTACGTGTTGCAGCGCAAGCGTTCGGCGCACGAGCGGCAGAAGGAGAGCTACGAGAGCGGGGAGTGGTCCTCGGGCCAGAAGTGGGCGGACGACGCCCCCCGGGAAGAGCTGGACGCCCAAAGTGTCAGTCTCATGGGCTCCGGGGCGTGCGGAGCCTTCGTCCACGGCCTCGAAGACGAGTTCCTCGGTGAGGGCCTTGCCGGCACTTTCATTGTCTTCCACCAAAAAGAAAATGTTTGAAAATATGCGGATGAATTGGCCGTACCGATCGAACGGGACAATAGTTACAAAAGACAAAATCTTTGGCGGCACCGGGATTCATACTCCGGGTCCTTCAATATCTGGTCGGGCATGCTAACCACTACACCACTCCGCCTTGACTTTTTGGCGTTTCCCATCTTTCTTATTAATGCACAGAAACAAGATGTAACTAGTCGGAGGTGTTCTGGAAGCACGTGCCGTCGCACGGAACGCGGTACGAGCTAGTTGCGATCCAGGATCTCTCTCACTGTTTGTCCCATCACGTGTACATGTATTGTGTCTTGTTTATGAGCTTTAGAAACACGGTATCGTCGGCTGCAAAAGTCGAGAGTCACGTTTTCAATATATCGCGGGACACTTTCGTTATCTTGCACGTTCTTCAAAGAGCGAATATCTGAAAATTACCGATCTAATATAATGTATGCAGAATTGCATTGCATGAGAAATGCAGCAGACACTCGCTCCAGTCTTGACTTTCCTGGCACGCAACGCCGTGTCTATTGTCGCCACATCCTTTTTTTGGGCACTTCCTTGTTCTCATTGTTCTTTAGGTCATTGAAGGTGGCAAAGTCCTCTCAAAGCATCTTAGAGTCCTCTCTCTTCTGCGTCTTTTGCTCTGAAAAATAATGAGATAAAACAGCGCAAAAATGTACAAAAGGAAGAGACAAACCGACGGCTCCAAGGTTCCTCCAGAAATTGGTTATTTCTTCTGTTTATTTCTTCTGTTTTCTTTCACAGTTGCCTCGTGTGGCCGGCAGAGTTTGCGGCATAGGTGCTTGGTCAACTAGGCCAACCCTCTTTGACATTGGCATGCTCAACTTTTTTTAGCGTAAGCTACACTGGCCGAGGTTGAGCAGTTTCGCGTGGCTCCCAAAGAGCCGTGCTGCGCATGCGCAAGGAGCAGTGACGTCACACGTGTCAGTCCCCGATGCACGCGTCGCGCACATGCACCCGCTTAAGATCATGGCTCGCGCTGTCCGGTTGTTCTGGGCGGTAGCTTGGTTGCTTGATACATAACAACACGGCGCACAACTTAACTCGTCGGATCCTGAAGTTGTCACTAATGCGTATACCGTGTGTGTCTCATTGAAGCAGCAGTAAGCATGATAATCAAGCTAATCCTAGACAACCAGGAAAGCTAAGAATAACCAGCTGAATCTAAGCTTACGCTACGTATATCTTGGCATGGCCGAGCTAAGCCACTGCAAATTTTTTAATCGGAGGTGGCTTCAGTGAGAATGCAATTTTATGTGAAAGGATGTGGACGACAGCTTAGGCATATTCATACAGCTGCAACGAGTTCAAATTTGGTTGCCTGTCATCCTGAGTTTTTCTCGGTTTCTTCCAGGACGTAGTTTTTATCTCACCAAATGAAACTAAAAGAATGACACAGACCTTGCGAGTTTATTGAAGGTTTGCTGGTAATCTGGGCCCGCCGACGTCTGCTTCCGTGCTGCACCGTTCCAACGCTGCTGAAATGTGTGGTAAAATGGCAGACTTTTTCCTCTAAGTCTATTATACGAGCTCTGTGCCGGGTACCTACGGATGCCCAGAATGCCTCGGCCCCGATGCGGCATCGACGGTTAGAATGATGCCCCCTTCGTTCATTCGCGAAACTGGAAAGATGCCGACGAAATGTATGGATTGTTAGGCGTAAGAGAGTAGGTGCAGAGTGAAACTAGCCGAGAGTCCAGCGGTGTCTACGAGAAAGAGGGGAGGAATATAGAAGACGCCGAGTCTCCAAGTCGGCCGGGACAGTTTATTTAATTCGCCAACAACGTAGCGACGCAGAAAAGAGCCAACTTGACGTTCTGACTGACCAGACTTCCGACCTGTAAAGCACCCAAATTGCTAGGTCATTAAAGTAACCCCTACAGTACAGAAGGTAGGTGGCAATGCCATGCAAGGTTACCAATTTTCTGGGACGTGATAACGTAACCAGACGAACAATGCTTATATTGAGATGTTTGTCTCGTTTCCGCCTAAAATGAAAGCCGATGGGCAAAAGTTCCTTGGCTGTTTTGTCCACAGAGATGCGTTCATTGTAAACGAGGGAGGGGATTCTTATGAACGCAAGTTTTGTGGTTGGGTGAGCAAAGAACTCTCATGCACTCTTCACTGTGCATGAACGTTCTTTGCTCACCTGTGCAGCCGCCGTACTGTGTGCTTGTCTCCCTGGTTGGCGAGTGTCGGTCCCAACCAAGGTGTCCACAATCTGAGGCAGACCGATCATGGCGCTGCCCACTAAAAAATTTTGGTTGCACGATAAAAAAACACATAATTAATTTCTTACATTTGCCTGGGTAATTTTTTTTATTGGTGTGAGATACAGAGCCACAAACTGAATAAAACCTTCTCGAGTCCCCGGCTATCGGATGTGCCCACTATGCGACAGAAATCGCGACACTTTCAGCCTCGAATCGCAGCTCGTTCTATCGTGCGGGTCTCTTGCGAAACTGCCTCGCAGAAATGCACAGTTTTTTTAGTGCAACGGCTCTAGGGGCGTTTCCCGACGAGGGAAACGCTTAAGGCCTCCGACTGTCGGAAAATTTAGCCTGCCCGTAGATGTCGACTAGTAATTTGGGGAACACACTGCGCTTGTCCGAGGAAACCTGCCAAGAAACGTTTCTTTATTGCTTGTCTACGCTAACGTTTGCCTTCAGGAGACTCGTGCATAAATAGCGCCAAGGACAGACAAGTGCCCGAAGTAGATGGTACAAGCGTCATTCACGTTTAATATACCTAACCCACTAGCCCGCGTTAATATATTAAGAGAGCCTATTGGCATTGTTTTAGCGAGTTGGCAGCCACCGCCAATATTGAGCGAACACTCATAGAGTCAACGCTGGAAGCTCCAAACACTGTGTGCTCGCGGGGGGTCGCAATCCCCTCCAGTACAGTCACTGACAATGTAGGAACGGCAGGTAGGAGTGGTCCCAGCTCCAGCGCGAGCGTCCTACCCAACGCCTGGGTGCAGAGTGTTCTCATTGGCAATTGTTTTAGGCCCTTTTTTGCCGGTTCGGTCGCTACGGCGGACACCCTGTGGTCTGTATGCTGCACGACCCGGTCGTTGTGGTGCAGGCACTGTTTTCGTTTGCCTAGGCAGTTTGGGTCTGGAGCGAAGCGCTTGGCTTTGCAGAGGTGCGGTTGGCCACCCTGGACTCCTTGTGCAAGCTGGCACTGAAGTTCCACTCCTTTGCGGCCCAGTCGCTGGACTTCATAGTGGACATGTTCAACGACGAGATTGAGGAGGTGCGCCTGAAGGCCATCCAGTGCCTGGGGCGCATCAGCAACCAGATCGTGCTCAGGGAGGACCAGCTCGAGACCATCCTGGCCGTGCTTGAGGTGGGCACAGCGACTTCCCGGGGCAACAACAATCTCTTCACCTGTGCGCTAGTACTCTAGGTCGGCCTTTTTAACCCGTTGAGTGCCACGCCTGAGCATTGGCGACACCTAGCGGCTAGAAGAGAAACCTGTGGCGGCAGGTTCGCTCACCAACCTTCTCGAGCGAATTAGACATTAAAAAATGTCTAAAGAAAAGGACTTGAAAGTGGGCTTAAAGTCTCCAGTACTCGTTCGTGTGTGGTTTCAGTTTGCTCCCTGCCCCTCCCAACCGCGCCTTATGATGGGTCCCGCCATGCACGACCGAGCGGTGATGTTTTATCTTGCAGTGTCCCTATTGCGAGGCGCGTAATTGTTTTGTTTGGGCCTGCTTTGGTACGCTTTCTTGTTGTTGCAGAATGGCAAATCTATGTCGCTCAGCCTTGCACTTTGTGGCAAACACTGAGGTCTAGAAATGACTAATGAACTTGGTGTTCGACAGCCGTGAAAACAAGCGAGTTCCGAATGAACGAAGGTTGAGTAAGTGACCTCAGGATGCAGAGTCAAAGTGTCATTGCATAGTACCGTGTCTCGAAAAGCACAATACGAGAAATATGTCTTAGGTTGAAGGCATGCTGACATCAGTTAACTTATTAAATACAGTGTAGACCGCATATAACGTAAGTCGCGGGAGTCGCGAAAATCCGCACTATAAGCGGTACCGCGTTATAACCAAAACATAAATTTTTCAGGCCAAAATACATTTCTTATGAGACAACTAACCTTTGTAAAAGAAATATTTTATGTTAGATGAAGAGGAGTCTTTATTTCACCAGACTAGTACACTTCTCTCTCAAATGTGTCGATTTTGAAAGAAATGAGCGACTTTTGCCTGGCGCAGCCTTTTAACGGCGTCGCTGGTTGCGGACGGACGTTGCGAGCGTTCAGGATTGCTAACCCTAATCACTTTTCTCCGGTGATGAAGACGCGTGAAAATTCGCATCCTTTATACGATACGCGCCAGTAATACCTTCAACTTTAGCACAGGCGTGAAATGCTCCAAATAAGAAATCCGGGCGATGTTCGAAAACACAAATGCTTAAAAAGCACCACTGTAGTCGAAGTAAACAAACAGGACGACACGGGCGTTTCTGCCGTCTTGAGAGTGCCGCCATGACATTGCCGCACGAGTAGGTGGATCTTCCCACTGTGGATCTTCCCTTCTGGTACGTGCTGGGTTCTCATAGCGGCACACAGCGAAAATTCACAGTCAAGGATAGCGCTTTTACGCGGAACGATGAGCTTCCACCCGTCTACGACGACGATCACAACCGACGCCATGTTTGCGGATAGAAGCAGCCGGCCCGCAACCGGCATGCAACGCGCGCGAACACTTCTCCTCGACCTGCGATGGGTCTGTCGTTGCGGTTGTTTCCAACACCAACGCAGCGGAGGGACGCACGCACGTGAACGACACGTACGTGCGTCCCTCCGTCGCTATGGCATCTGAAGCCTCTCTCTTCGCTTCTCTCCGCAAGCCAGGCTAGCGCCGTTATCGAGTGTCGCACAGGGAAGCGTGCTCGCTGCGCCGGTCAATGGAGCAATCGGCGCGCTGTTCCAGAAACAGCACTATAACCGGTATTTACCTTCGCGCGCCTGCATGTTAAGCGGCATGTAATTAAATGGAGTTCTATGGGAGGCGAACCGGTGGTTTAAAAAAGCCGCGTTATACCCGGTCCTGCACTATAAGCGGTTACGTTGTAAGTGGTCTATACTGTAGTCTGTCTTTCACAAATGAACATTCTGGACAGAGAATGCTACGCTACAGTGTCGTAGCTTCGCTATGCGGGAAATACAGTAAACCCCCGTTAACTCGAACACGGATATCTCGAAAGATCGGTTAAGTTTAAACTTTTGTGCGTTGCGAAATGAATCCCCATTGGCACCATGTATTTTGACATCGCTTATCTCGAAAAGTTTCCGGGAGGGGCATCGGATATCTCAAAACTTCGCCTGCAAATATAAAAAAAAAAAATATTCCTGAAAGGACACTGAGGCCTGAAGGAGAAAGTTTATCTCCATTGCGGACGAAGCGATGGCGACCTAAAAATAATGCTAACAAAGAGAGAGAGAGAGAGAGAGAAAGGGTCTTCGGAGAAAAATAAACAAAAGAAGGAAGCGCCGAGAAAAATGAACAAAACAAGGAAGCGCCGGAGAAAAATAAACAAAAATGGAAGCGCCGCGAACGCGTTCCGGGCGCACAGAACGCGATGAGCGTTCAAGGACGTTTGTTTTCTTGCTTTTTGCTTTCTCCCCATCTCCCGGGACTTTTCTTTCTCCCTTTTTCTCTACGCTTGTGCTGGCTTCTGGCGTTCTATCGCCTTTCCCGATCTCGTGGTCGCCGTAGTCGCCACGCCGCCAAGCCGTTGTCGCGTCGCCTTCGTTCAACCCCGTCCACATGAATGGAGGCGGCGCTCTTTGAGGAATATGTGCGTGCGCTGAACCGCTGGACGCTTCTTTCTAATTCATTTTTTCTCGTTTTAGAAAGTGATTTCTTGCTTAAAACGAAGCTGTGATTGGTACGATTTTCGGAAGCGCTAGATTTTCGAAATCCGCGGTCGGTACTTCGGAAATTTCGGTACTCCGCTTATCTCGAAACTTTGCTTATCTCGAAATTTTCCCGGTTTTTATGACTTCGAGTTAACGGGGGTTTACTGTATGCCCAGAACGAAGTGCTGCTTGCATGTCGCCACTGACGTCCATAGTAAGCGTTACGGAAAATGCTAGAGCAAATCGATTGGTATTTACTCGCTCAACTTGTGGACAGAAGTAATTTTTGTTCCTTTGCCGGCTTGGGACGCACATGCATGTCCTATCTGAGAATCGCATTTGACCGCAACGGGTTCGGCATGGCTCGAGAGCTAAGTGGATTGCAATATACTAGGCTAACTTCTCCTGAGAGTAGAAAAATAGTGCTGCGACATTTTGGTCGTGTTTGGGTCGGTAAATCTCGGTGCAATCTTTTCGAGACTCATAGGGTGGCTTACGACGAGAACACCATTGGTTGTCCCTATGGTCGCATGATTACTTACGCCAGCCAATGGGGGTGAAGCACTGCCGTTGAGAAAGCCCTGCTGCGCGGTGACTACTGCATTGATCACCAAAGTTGGACATGTGCCAAGCAAACCTACCATATGCTTGGCACAATAGCAAATCATGCCAAAATTATAATAGGTTTACCGTAAAATCCCGTGAGAGCGCCCTCCCCAGAGAGATGGCCCATCCCGTTTTTCTGGGTAAATATCTGTGACATAAAAATTTCGAAACATTGCCCAACCCCCATTCTTGTTTTGCGTCAAGCGACGTCCGACGGGAATAGCGCATCAACGGCGCGATCGGCGGTACCGGTGTGTCCGAGAAGTTCATGGAGGGTTCCCGCATTTTCGTCTGCGACCTGCACACAATATCGGCTCGCGTAACACGCTACTTGTTCCAGCGTGTATATTGCATTGTGAAATGCAAATCTGCTGCGTTCGCGATTTGCAGTATCTGTTCCCAAGTTCGTAGTGGATTCCCGTGTTTTTGTCCGCGATCTGCGCGCGCGATATCGATGTGTATTGCATTGTGAAATGCGATTCTGTTGGTCCCCGATCTGTGGTAGTATTTGTTTCTGTGACATGAGAGTTTGTAGCATATTAAAACTGTGAGATTGGCTAGTTGTAGCGTATTCCCGTGTTTTTGTCTGCGATCTGCGCGCGCGATATCGGTTTCCGTGACAGGCAAGATTGTAGCGATTTCCCGCGTCTTTATTGCTCCATGAAACTTGAATCTGCTAGGTCCGCGATTTGCGATGTTCGTTCCCTTGAGATGCAAGTTCCCGGCGGGTTTCCGCGAGTCTTTCGCACCGTGAAACGCAAATCTACTGCGTCGGCCGCTTGTAATATCCTTTCCCGTGACATGGGAGTTTGTAGCAAATTCCCGCGTGTTTATCGCATGGTGAAACGCAAATTTGCCGTGTCCGCGATCTGCGGTGTCAGTTCCCGCGTCACGTGGTTTGTAGTGGGTGCCTTTGCGCTTGCCATTAATTTTTGATAAAGTTTTGCCTTGGCATCTCCAAAGATAGCACACCCCATGTTTTTCACCATTTATCTCTTCATTTTGGGTGGGCGTCCTTACGGGATTTTACGGTAGGTTTATTTTTTTTCCAACAAAAGGTACAGTGTTGGTGGGGGCTTTGGAAAAAAGCTGTTGACACAGCTTGACTAGTACTTAGCCCCCATAACTTTAGCAGCTACGAGCAGCGTCCATGGAAAAAAAGAAATACACTGAGAACACTAAAGAAAAAAGAGGTTGAACAGTCGGCAATCTTTTGGGGGTGGCGCATCGCCCAGGATATCGCAATAGTTATTCTAATGTACGCTAAGAGTTCCACTCGCTCTAGTGCCCACTCGACTTCTGGGTTGCAAGTTGAAGCAGACAACAACCAGTCTGCTTTTGCGGTGCTCCTGCATGTTCCTGCGGGAAAATGCGCTTTCTCTTTGCGGGCAGTAGTGGCAATCGCCTTTGTCACTTGGGTCGTAGGGAATGGTATGTAACTTTATAAAAGTGTAATTGCTTTGGTTGCAGTATTTTTTCTGGTCAGTCAGCAGTGTCTAAATTTGCAATTTTTCAGGTCAAAACTTTGTGTTTTGCAGCAGTTGTGTAACGAAAAGTGACAAATCTAAGACCATTTGCAGTAACATGCATATTGAAAGTGCACAAACATTCCTATATATTGCTAATGCGGCAGGTCTGTCACGTCGTGAAAACGATCTTGTCACGCAACGAGTGGGAAACACGTGCAAAACAAAAAGAGTATGCAGGCTAAGAAAGCAGCCTTTTTTATTATTTCATATGCCGGGCCGCTTTTCTCTAGCACCAATTGGTTTCTGGCTTCTCTCTATTTTAAAGATTTCGAGCATGTGGAGGATGTTTTGAGTCCTGGAACGAAACTGTCTCTGTGCCAATCCGTGAGCAGAGAAAAGAAAACGAAAATTATTTCTTGGTGATCACGCTAGATTCTCGGCTTTCAACCCTTTTTGAATGTCTGCATGCACAAGTGGGTTCTCAACCAGTGTTACTGCATAGTTCTTGCCGACTCCTGCCTGATTTGCCACATTTGTTTCCCTTTGGGCGTTATGGAATAGTTAATTAATTTGTTTTCCTTCGAACGTTTCTTTTATGCACAAAATAGTAAACTCTAGCAACTACCTTGTGCATAACTGCATGTATGAAGCTATTTTAGTGCTGTTTAAGAGGAGGCAAGAATCTTTAAAGCCAAAAAAATTAAGAAAAAAAAGCTTTTCTTTTTTTAAATGGCGATTTTGAAATTACAGTTTTTTTGTTTTTTTTTATCTGCCAAGTGTGTTATTTTGCATGTTAATATTTGAGCCATTATATCGCTTTATCATATCTATGTGGGCTGAAACTGTACTTTCTCAAAACAGAAATGTTTGGGAGGAATATCTTATCATCTATAGGGCAGGCAGAAATATAACGTTTTTCAGCAACATGTAGCTAAATGTGCAAAGTGTGCAATGTTGGAAGCAGATTGTTCAATATAGGTGTAGGAATATTTGTAACTGTACTGTTGTTTTATTGCTAGGTAGCCCACTGAAATTCAGTGTGTTATAAAGTCACTAATAGTGGTTCAATCTAAAAAGTGCCTCCAACATTGTATTCTTCATTATCTTGTAGTATCTGACTATATGTTAAAACATTCTTTCTTTAAAAATGTTTTTTCATTATAGTTTCTGGACGCGGTTTGGTTAATTATAATTATCCTGAGAACTGACCTACTAATTAAAAAATAATAATGACAGGTATTTGAAATCAGCACAAAAGTGCTGATTTTAAATGTGCTGTGCCGTTTTATTGGGCTTGACCAAAAAAATAAGGAAGAAAGCCCCCCTTAATACCACAAATTTAAGATAGAAAGACCAACCAACCAATATTTCCATTGACGCGATTGAGAAATGTTTGAAGCTATGTATTACGTCAAAAATCTTCATTATAATCAAGCACAGTGCATTAGCAGAAGTCAGTTTTAGACTCGCTGCATCCTGCTTTATTTCGCAACAGCGCACTGAGCCAGCTGGAACTGTAACGTACAGTATAGTCGCCTAACTCCACTAAAGTTAACAGGTGAGACTTTCTTAGCGAAAAATATGACGACCGCTGTCCGCCAAATTGTTTATTCGTTCTCTTTCGTTACCCTTTTTTGTAATGCATCTTTCATAATGCTGGAAAGTGCCGAGTCCTCCACTGTAACATATTCCGAATTAAAAAATGGTTCGTCTTCATTTTCAAGATTTCAGGAAAGATATCTCGTTTCCGACTCGTTGCTCTCGCATTCCCCCATGGTTCACCACGCAGCATGCCGTTAATGAAATTGGAGCGCTACATTGTTTTGTGATTCGTATAAAATGCGCGCGTCAGTCCTCCGAAGCCACCGGTGAAAGTTGTCGTGCAAAACGCAGGGTCTTCTCTACAATGTCATACCCATGGGATGCGACTAGTCTGTTAACCACGTCTTGAAAAGGACGTCGTAGAAGTGTCTGCGATCCTGGCGGACACTTGTATATTGTTGTGCAGCTTGACAGTTGAGATTTAGAGACATTTCTGATGAGACTTGTGGCACCCACTGCCTCACTTGGACCACTTTGGATGTATGGGCTATGACGAGAGCCAGAAATGTGTTTCACAAGCTCAAGGACGGCATCAAAAGCCTCGGCGATGAGGAGACACATCCTTCCGGCTGGCGTGCAATATTCCCCAATTTTTTGTTGTCGTTCGTGGCAGAAACCTTACAGTGTCTGGTTCACAAATGAGCGTAACTTGTTCGAAGATGTTCGGAGCAATCCGTCGAAAGACTTTTTGCCGGCTGTTAGAAAAAACAGAGGAGCGATTGGTTAGGCGACTTTTGCGAGGCGGGTGTGTTGACCACAGAGAAGGCTCGAAGCGGGTTGGCGGCAGGGAGCGTCTCTGTCCGGCAGGACTTCTCCATGGACATCCGGGAGGCCCTGCACGAGGTGCTGGGGGGCTGCTGCCTCTCGACCAAGGAGGGGCTCAAGGCCTGCGTGGACAACCTTCTCGAGAACCTCAAGCGCTACCCGCAGGACAAGCGCTCCCTCTGGAGGTGGGCCCCCATGCTTGCCACAGAGGGCTTCCGTTCTCGATGCGTGCGCAAGCCTTTTCTTCTAGTCTGCTTTCCAAAAAAGCTTTTTCTTCGAATTGAAGTTTGTTTCAACCCGTAAAACGACCTAAAAAAAATTTTTTTTAAACACCCTGAATGGGAAAAGGAAGCCATAAAATGAATTTACAATGAGCAAGAAAAATGTTTAGAGCTACACTTGCGTTGCAAAACAAATTTGCAGTTGGTGCCCGCAGGCGTTTGCGGAAGAGTGGCCGCTATTTATCGCATGGTGCTTGCGCTCTTTCGGAAGCTTCTTATGGCCTCTAAAAGTAACTTATTCATCTTTGTTTGAAGTATAACAAAAAACTAAGATTAATAAGTAACTTTAGAGCCTAAAGGAATCTCCTGAAGAGTGCAAGCACCACGTGATAGACCTGTGCACCATCAGAAATGGACGGTGGCAGCACCGGAGCATTCCCTTCCGGCGGCGGCGGGGTGGAGAAACACTTTGAACCAGCGTCGTACCCCCCCAGCGTGCGGCAGCGGCGGCGCCGCAGCGCAGCGGCTCCCTCTGGCACCAACCACAAATTCGTTTTGCGCTGTAAATATAGCTCTAAATATGTTTTTCTTCAATGTAAATTCGTTGTATAACACTTTTTTCCCATCTAAACTGTTAAGAAAAAAATTTTTTTTTTTTTCTTTTACATGTGGTTTTTTTTAATTTGGTTTCTGATTTTGTTGAATAAATCTGCAGGACTTGGGACAGGTCTGGGTGCTGTTCAAGACGTACTATGCCTGTGGCTGACACGCATTTTTGTTTTTTGTTAAAACACTGTGTTTGTAATTTGATGACCCAAAGGTGACTAGAAAAGTAAAAGAAAAGTAAACCTAAATCTGACTAGGAGGGTAAATGAACGATACATCTTGGCATGCCATCCTTGGACTTCTGTGACACAGTGAAGACGCATCGTCGCAGCCATTGTCTCTTTCACGAGTGTGAGCGCAAAAAGTTGCACTCCTGCCACGATAAAGCATGTGACTCGCCCAGCTCTCAGGTTTACCTGGAGCTTCCGAAGCTGGGATATTGTGACCGCATTCTCAATCCGGGTACCCCAGAGTACCCTTACGGGGTTTCATAGCTCCCCCCATTGACTGTTCCTGCCCCTATGTAAAGTCTTCCAGTGTATTCGAGCAGATCTGAGCCACTTGCATACCTATGAGCCAAGCACTCTCTGGTATGCATATCATTGTTTCCAAGGTGTGCAGACTTGCGCTTTAATGCATCAATGCAGAGACTGCTGCCATTCAAGGCAGGTGAGCTGGAGAAGTTTGGGAACCCCTGCATAATGGCATTATTGTTTGGTAATCGTATTGGTGATGGCTGTATTGGGACACTTTCCTGGACAGGTGTCTCCGGCTGCTGGGTACCAAGCACCCGTACCTGGTCCTTCCCCTGGTACCCGAGCTGCTGGGCATTCACCCGTACTTCGACCTCCCTGAGCCCGATGTGGAGGATCCTGCCTGTATCCTTTGGTGCTCTTTGTGCCACTGGTGGTTGGCTCTGCCACAGCCACGGTGTAAGATATAAAATGTGACCACAGCTGACAGTGTCTCTGCGGATCAAACGGCTTAGCTGTGGGAGAAAGAAATAAGCGAAAATGCATCTCGTTGCTATGGCACCCAAGCGCACGCGCTTTCCACTCCGCACGTCTGCTCCGAGCTCAACCGACGCTCGCTTGAACGTTGTGCCAGAGATCTCTTCGTTTCGGTGTGTTCATAAAACTGCTCATGCTGCTGTTGAGGCAGGAAACTAGAAATAATGATAAAGCCGTGTCCAAGCAACACACATGGGGCAAGTAGCAAGTTTTACATGACCCGGCACATGCAGAAAGGGGCTTTAAAAATGAGTATGTTTCTCATAGAAAAGCATGGGAAATGAGGTCTGTGATCCCTGGCCGCTGATGGCAGAGTCATCTGGTGGCGTTACTTGCAACTAAAGTGCCTAAGTAATACACAGTGGACTCCGAAATGGGGACCGACGTGGGTGCCACTTGGGAAGCCCCTGGGGTCCCTTGTCGGGCAGTGTCCATTCGGGCAGCCCACCTGGGTCTTCTCAAGGGGCCCACAGTGGGTGTACTTGGGCAGCCCACTAGGGCCCATCTTGTGGGGCACACGGGGGGGGGGGGCCTCAATGGAAACCTTATCTCGCTCGGGGTTATTTCATCGTTTCCCTATGGTGTGGGGAATTGCAGTGCGTCCCAAAAAGGCCAGGCCTCACTTTCCTGGTGTTCCTAGTAGAAAGATTATTACCATTTCAATAGATCATTAAAACATTGAGCAGGACCATGGAAAATTGGGCTTTTCAAGTGTACGATATGGAACAGAAAATTGTGCACATTTCCGCGTGAAATCTCGTTTGACGGGTAAACGGGATACATAGCCAGCCTGAGCCGACTACACGCACCGAGTTTTAAAAAAAATACAACATTTTGACGAGTGTAGTTTGGAATTCACCCTCAAATTCGATACTGTGCGTAAAAAATTTTACAGCACGTGAAACGGCCTCCTCAACATACACACTGAGTATAGTAAGTTAGTAATAACGTTTTGCAAGTCTAACGATTCTCGTGCTTAAAATTACAGTTGTCAGTAACTTGATATCAAATTAAGACAAGCTCCTATATCGAATTTCCAGAACGTGCTGTAAAAATTCTCAATGTCACAGGAAAATACAACTTTGGGAGTTGGACATGTAGTATAAGTTAGGCATGCCCACGCTTTGCCCCCTTGGAGCCCTCATGTATACTAATCTTGCCCCCATATATAGCCAAGGTAAAACCCACGGGGGCATTACATGTGCAGCCCAAGTAGGGCATGCCCCCGTGGAGCTCACCTGTCGACACTCAAGACTGCATCGAGGGAAGGCATGTTAACTGACCGACACATGTCGAGGTTGGCCACTCTGCTCAGTGTGCACGGCGAATGTCCTTTAACTTTGTTTTGGACATTCATTCTTCTCAAGCACCACCCCATATATCAATCCTCCCCCCAAGTAAACTGTTCTTCCGGTTATTATTTTCCAAGGAAAGATAGGAGCCATTCATTGACTGTGTGCCAAACGCTCTTTGGTCTTTCGCATTACAGTTTGTACTGCCCACAGCCTTCTACACCACATTGTTGCATCAATGCAAGGTCCAGGAGGGGCTCCTCAGACATCGTTCGAAAGATGTAGGCGTTGCTCAAGATGAATGAATGAGAGAGCATTACGGGAACTCCCCAATCCACAATGTTTTAAAAATCTTTAAAATGATTCGTTGACATCTTTCTCGGAAGTGTGTTACATGTGCACCTATCGTAAAATACCAGAGAAGTACCCATCCAACTTCTACTGAAAACTGGGCGAGTGTACACGTTGGCACTTCTCCGGTCGAATCGGCTCGTTCAATGTATAATTTATCGTATACTCTAAAACAGCCACATGGGCGCGCAGTATTTCGAAATAAATAAATATAAAATTTGCAGAATTCCCAAGTCTGGGAAATGTTTCCACTTCCACGGTATTTTAGGGTAGTATGTTTTCACTCCGGGACCTTCAATTTCTAGAGACGGCAGAAGCTTGCGCTATTCTCGGTGAGAAAGGACTTGGACCTGTACGAAAAGCAGGTCGCTCCTTTACTGACGAGAATTCTCAGGCGATCGCCTTCGTGTTCGAGCTACGGAAGTCCTCAACTGCGGGCGCCTAACTTTGCCCTGGGCACGGCGCAGTCACGCCCAACGTTGCATTGACCCACGTGCCCTGTCACGGCATTTTGCGACTACCACCAAAGAATGCACACCGGCCCTCTCTTTTCATCCCTCGTGTGGCTGGCACCTAGCCGTTTGTGATCCTACTGCAGTGACGGAACGAGAGGCCAAACGCTGACATCTCCTCACTGATTGGACACGAGAGCCAGCCGCTCGTCTTGCGGTGCAAGTTTTCACATAACATGATCAAACGTACAGAGATGCCAGTGATGCCCTCGACTTCTAGCGTGTGCTAAATGTGATAGTCGTTTTCGTTCTATTGCTTGTTTCACTCGAACGCGCTTTCTCAATGGTGCCGTTCACGACGCCGCGTTCCATCATCTCCGTTCCGTCATGTCTTGCTCCCGCAGTTACAATGCTGGAGTTGCCACGGCAGCAGAAACGGTGACGCCGCGATCAGATCTAGCTCGAAGCTGCACCACATTCTGCGTTGCCTTTGCCACGATAGTGGGGGAAAGGGGCCATTTTTCTCTCGCGCCTCGTCTACTCTGGGTGCCTAGGACGCCCGCTAACTTCCTAACCTGACCGTCGGTTACCTCGAATCCATTGCACTGGTGTGAGGAGAGGGCGCCTCCTTAGCGCCCTGCAGATATCAGCACCCTGATCCTGGTGTTCAATGCGGCGGCGGGGTGTCCGACCATGATGCCGCTGTTCGAGGAGCACACGCTCAGGCACTACTCCTACCTCAAGGACTCCTTCCCCAGCCTGGTGCCTCAGCTGACTGTGAGTACTACTTTCAGGCTCCCTCTTCCCAACTCGGCCTTCCGACGTCCTGCCACTGTTTCGGCACTGCCATTGGTCCTGGACTTGCGCAGACGCTTTTTCTCGCACTAATCTAGTTTCTGCACAGCTTGTTTGTAAACGGCGTGTTGGTCAATACAGTTGAATCACATTAATTCGACCTTGGTTAATTCAACTTGTCGTTTAATTCGACCCTGTTCAAAGGTTTCACCAAAAACTCATACATTTGTTTGGAAGAAAATCTAGTTATTTCGATTTTGAAACTTAAAATATTGGTTAATTGACCTAGAGAGAACCGACGGTGGGCAAATTGCAAGCATGTTTGGCCGTGCGTGACGCACCAAAACTTGCCTTTTTTTTCCGAATTACGTGACAGGCAAGTTACTACAAGTGTGATTGGGCATGCCGATCGGCAAAAGAACCTGCTTCCAATTTTTTTAAGTTCAGAGGCTTTCATGGCGAGGCCTAGACATTGGCGAAGCTGGACAGCGTGGTGGGGGCAACTGGGACCCACGTCCAAGTGCAGGCTTCGGAGAGGGTGGACATCGTAGGTGTAGTCGTCAATCTGTGAAATAAATAAATCTTCCGAGGTCGCTCACCGTAGCGTGAGTGCGGGTCATCGGGGTGGAAGTCGCATAGCTCCAGGTGCCGGTACAGGCAAAGGCGGTAGACGTGGTCGGTTTCCCCGCAGTGATATCACAGTGGACGTTGGTCGGCCGAGTGTCGCATGTCTGTCTTCCTTCCTTGCCTCTGGGGTTCAGGTCAGATGTACGAAGCTTGTTCCTCGGTGCACCATACGTAATGTGGCATAGAGGCTTTCCGCTGAGGGGGCGCCGGATGCTGGTACTGGCTGGTTGCTGACAGCGTAGCTCAGAGTCATGCAATTAACAATGATCCTTGTAACAATACCAAAACAAGTCGCCTAAACAAAAAAGAAATTATGCGCCCTTGGAAAGTGGCATTACGACACACAATGTTGTTTTCATCGCTCGCTTGTGAGTGCCACTAGTCATAAATAAAAGGACAGCGCAGTTGGGAAAGGCAGGGAGCGAACCGATGCGGAAATCAGTCTGGAACGCTCCAGAGTGAGGGTCGGGCTTGGCACTTGAGGGGTTAATTGGAAGGAGCACGCCGCTTGAGGGGTGCAACGGAGCCTGGGCACTCCCCCCAACTTAGCCGGCAGACACGAGTGGCGACACCTGGAAAACCGTTTCTCCGGCAGCTCCCGAACCAGCAGAGCCAGGCGGTGGGTGCTTCCTCGCCGTCCTTGGCCCAGTCACATGCCTTCCTGCACCAGGTGTTGGAGCGGGTGTCAGCTGCGGAGCTGAAGCAGTCTGTGGCCAGGCAGAACTGGCTCGAGACGGCTATCAGGTGAGGCCGAGCAAATCTCTCCCTTGGGTCTTTCTGGAGCGAGGTCACGGTATCTGGAATGCACCTCTGACCATCCGTCTGTACGGTCAAAGTGGTGCCCAAGTGGCAACAAGCAGCGACGTACGAGCCGCCACGTTGTCGTACTGCTGCCGGATGCTAGAAGTCTCGGCAAAGAAACCGAGCCAACAAGGCCTCCGCGGAGCTGGAGAGCGACATGCGGTAGAACGGGTGTCTGCCACGCTCGCAGCCGCTTGCGCAATATCCTGGACCAGAAATCGAGGGACGGATTCTTAGGCCACAGGCAACAGACCGGTCAGAGAGGCATTTCGGGCACTGTAGCGAGACCCAGTTGCTCCCTCGCCCCAAGTTCCAATTGCCTTCCACCTCAGGGACCTGCGGAGGTTGTCGGAGATCGAGCCTCGGCTCACGGCCGCCGCCGACTGCGCCGGCCTCTACGTCCGGTGCCAGCTGCTCCTCGCAAAGGTGGGTGCACGAGGAGGGGAAGAGGACTCGGACGTCTGACCCCTCCCTCCGTCTGCCCAGATCCTGTCCAACAAGAGCTGGCTCAACTTCTCCGCCGCGTCGCCCCTGCAGAGCAACGCCCTCAAATCGCTGTTGGAGCAGGTAAGCCGGACGCCCTTCGCAGTACCTTTCTGTTAGATTTGAACCGGTTCAATTGTCTCGGAAGAAAGTGCTTGAAAAGCAGATGCTGTCAGTAAGCTTCCCATTGGCAGATGCTATCTGTTACCGTAAAAAGTTTTGCCTCTACGGAGTGGCTAGGCTGTCACCTGTTTTTTTATTGCAGTTTTAGTGTTGGGGTACCATCGATGCGTGTTTCAGTCGTGGACAGTGTGGTAGAGGCTGTGGACGGTTGACCCCTCGGCCCATGACTGCCTAGCTTACTGGCCTTGCTCTGGTAGCGGGGGATGAGAGAAGCCTAGATATTTGCTTCGACAAATCCCGCTTTTTACCAAATATAGGGGTGACTGAAACAACCAGGCTCAATCTAAAATGGACCGTAAAAATCGACGCCTGCATGTAGCACTCTAACCTTTTCGTCAAAGGTGTATTTCACAGGACGGTTTTTTCTTGTAAAATTACAAAGTGTAGCTCCCTTTCTGTACAAAATATGGCCAAGAAACTTGCCAGGGTCAACGGCGGACGGCGAAGCAGACGACCGAGTCTAGTGGCGGGGAGTGTTTGACGCACGTATTGGTAGATGGCGCTACCTCCTTGTCTGCTCACGACGGCCGTGGTCTTATAAAATTAACATAATCTTTGGTTTAAAAATAATTGCGGACAATGATAGCAAAACTTGAAGTAAAAAAGACTAAAGAGGACACTTGAGACTGCTTATGTGTAGAAATGCGAAAGCATTCCTACAGGGCCGTGCGCCACGTCTTCCTTTTTCACACGGCATTCTGGTGGTGAAATCACGCTCCCCTATTGTGCAGGCACAGCGAACCCCGTGGGCTCCACGGCTTCCGTGACGACGCATCTGCGTTGCTGTGCTTTTCTTACTGTTTTATTTGTGAGGCTCGTCCCTTTTGACCTTGAGTGGCCCCGCCGTCTTCCATGACAATGCATCTGCATTGCTGTGCTTTTCTTTGTTTTATTTTTATTTCTGACGCGTGTCCGCTTTGACCTCTTTTAACGCAAAATAGTTGCTCTTTTTTGCGGTCACAACCAACTCCAGCTGCGCTCCATGAGACAGTAAATGCTCTCCTATTAAAACTTTCTCTCAACTAATAGCCAAAATATTTTACAAAATCTAAAATATTTCCCTGATGTTATTGAATTCTCAAATTACGCCAGCAGCTGGGTTTTCAGGAGGCAACTCTCTACTGGCAACAATGAAAAATTCCTACTTTTTCCTACCCGTGTACGTCACCTGCGGGCAGACGGACGAGCAGCCCGGACAGCCACGAAGCGGCTCGAGATTATTTTTTCACTGCCTCAAAATTGAAAGTTATTTTGCAATAGTAGGAATTTGTGCTCTGTGGTACATTGCAGGAAAAATCTTCTTTTTTACCTTTGTTTTCGTGGGAGAAAAAAAAAATGCGCTCCCTGGAAGCGGTGGAGGCCAGCCACATCAAAGTGTTTTTTAACGAACTGTGTTCCGAGAGAACTAGTGTCGCATGAAGCACTCTCGCTTATGCTCGGAATAGTTCATAGAGTCACGGGCTTGAGTATGCGGCTGCATATTTTAAAGCCACGTGCTGCGAGTTGAATATCCTTCTGCAGGTGGCATGGCTTCAAGAGCGGCAAGCGCTGACTCAAGCTGGCTGTAACCACTGCAACATCCGTCTAAAGAGGAGCACTAATAATATTGAAAAAAATAGTGCACATTGTAGCACTATAGTCGACATTTGGCAGTCACATTTGTCGTTCACGATTGCTTCTGTAATTTTTTTATTTTTATAAACACTATATTTGTTTTGGACATCGAATCTTGCTCAGGCTACTCTCGAGAATTCCACTCACGCGGTTGATCTATTGAAGATGGGGAGTGAAACGTCTAAACAAAGTTGAAGTCTCAGTTTAGACATGACTTTCGACACACGGCTATTTTGTGTCTGGTCTTACAGAGGTTTAGGGAGTAGGTGTTGTGCTCTATTAATATATGATAGAGCCAATGCTTAGTTTGTCAAATGGTTGGCATAAAATTTTTCCTCGGCGAAGAGGTGGTGAAAATGTCTTTATATTATTCTATCATGGAGAAATGTTATATAGGGCTGAAAGATTTTTAAAACTATGAAAATAATAATGTTGGTGAGGAGGGGCATGCAAATTTCCAGGTGATGGTGGCTATGCAAAACCAAAGTGATCTTCCCTGCCCGCCAGTGACATCATGTTGGATGGCGTGGAAAACTGGAGAAAAACTAGGGAGAACGATGTTTCGGTTTTGGCAGCGAACAAAATATAACTTCTATAATTAACTAGAGTGTATCTCGGAGAACGAGGTAGCATTTTGGAATCAGTAAGCCATCAGCATTCAGATGGTGCCTTTGGATTAGGTAGTTTAATAAATCAGCAGAGTTCCCCTTTAACCCCAAGCTTGGTACCAGAGAACAGCGACAGCTCAGAGGTGTCCTCGCCAAATTCAGCGACTGCTTTGCGACGACATCAAAAGTGTGCCCACGAACAGTTGCGAAACATTGCATCGTTACAAACGATGATGCTCTATCTGCGCATCGGCTGCTGTACCGGGTTTCCCCAAAGGAAAGAGAGGCCATTCATGAAGAAGTGCAAGAAATGCTCAACAACAACATCATCCAGCTTTCAAGCAGCCCGTGGGCCTCTTCAGTTGTACTGGTTAAGAAGAAGAATGGAACACTTCGATTCTGCGTAGACTACTGGCGACCTCAACGCTGTGACGAAGAAAGACGTGTGTCCGCTCTTCCGCATCGACGGCACACTTGACTGGCTACGCTACTTCTGATACTTCTTGTCGATGGACCTGAAGAGTGGCTACTGGCAGATCGAAGTCGGTGAACAGAACTGGGAGAAGACTGCCTTCGTCACACCCGATGGACTGTACAAGTTCGAGGTGATGTCATTTTGGACTGTGCACTGCGCCGGCTAGTATCCAGGGTGTCATAGACAATGTACTGGTAGCCCTCAAATGGCAGAGCTGTCTCATTTACCTCGACGACGTCATGGTATTTTCGGCCAACTTCGACGAGCACTTCCGACGCCTTCGGGCCATTCTTCAAGCAGCAGGGACCGCCGGACTCACCCTGAAGCCAACAAAGTGCCGGTTCGCCTACGGCTGACTGAAGTTTCTCGGCCTCATTGTGAGCAACGAAGGTGTTCGTCCTGACCCTGAGAAGACTCGTGCCGTAGCGGCATTTCCATCGCCCACCGACAAGAAGTCCGTCTGAAGATTCCGGGGACTTTGTGCGCACTACCGTCAATTCGTTCGGCATTTTGCCTAGCTTTCTGCGCGCTCACGCACCTCATGGAAGATGCCTTGAACTTCGAATGGGGTAGATAGGAACAATGGGCATTCAATGAGCTAAAGCAACGACTCCAGTCGCCACCGATTCTCGGCCCCTTTGACCAACCAGCTGAAACGGAAGTTCACACGGACTTCAGCAATACAGGACTCGGAGCAGTACTGGTCCAACGACAAGAGAATACAGAGCGTGTGATCGCATACGCTAGTCGGATGCTGTCAAACACAGAACGCAATTACTCAATCACCAAGAAGGAATGTCTGGCCATCGTCTGGGCCATCACAAAATTCCACCTGCACTTGTACGGGAGTCCTTTTTGAGTGGTGACCGACCACCACTCGCTGCGCTGGTTAGCGAGCCTGAAACACCCATCGGGACACCTCGCTCGATGGAGCTTACGAGGACTGCAAGAGTATGACGTGACCGTGGTCTATAAGTCAGGCCAAAAACACAGCGACGCTAACTGCCTGTCCGGAGCCCCTGTCGAGTCAGCTACCGGCTGTGTCAAAGATAATAATAATAATAATAATGTGTTTTATTCCCTTTACAAATACATACAATTAATGCTGGCCTACAAAAGCAGTATTCTGCTTGTGCGTAGGACCAGACAATCCAGCGAAATACATATTAATACATCATGATAAAAAAAAAAAAATCAAACGACTGCAATAAAAAAAAAAAAAAACGAACGAGTGCAATGTGGCCATTGATACCAACATTAATACAAAACAAAGCAGCAATTCGGCACAAAACAAAATGAACACAACTATCGAAATCATCAAGAGGCAAGTATACAGTGATGGGAGTAAAGCAGTGTTTATGGAGGTAATGAGAGGCACCAGTTTTTTATTTCTTTTTTTAGTACTTTTATCAAATTTATTTTCATTAAAGGCTCAGTGAGCTCATTAAATAAGGTGGGAATAAAGTGAGCTCTGCATCTTTTTCCGTATCGCGTGTAAATTCTGGGGATTATAAACCTTTCTTTGCGCCTTAGGTCCCTAGGCTTGTCCACTGGAACCTTGAACGTTGCATCGTAGTAATAATTTATAAACGTAACGTATCTATGAAAATTTTTAAAGAATAAAATTTGGAGCTTCTTTGCTTTATCTTCCATATCTAATGTTCCGTATGTGATGTTTTTAACCATATGTTTTAAAATTCTGTTTATTGCATTTGTCTTGTATGGAGAACAGTGACCATATAAAGTAATTCCATATCGTAGAATTGATTCAGCTAACGACCTGTACACCAGTAGTCTTATCTTTACGCTGCACAAGCTTCTTATTCTGTACAGATATGCTGAAACGGCACGTAGTCTTTTAGTCACAAATTCCACATGTTGATTCCATGATAAATGTTCGTCGACGTATAATCCTAGATATTTTACACAATTATCGTATGGCAAAGGTTTACAAGTACAATTATTACACGGTGTCGAATGAAGTAAAATTTTAGGTGACATATCAATACGTTTATGAGAATTTCGGAAACACAGTAACTTAGTTTTGGCAAAATTAACGGAAATGGCATTTGAGTTAAACCAACCTATTAGTTCATTTATATCTCTTTGGAAGACTAAAACAGCATCATCATAGTTTTCATAAGGTAAAACTAGCACCGTATCGTCAGCATACTGAAATAGCTTAGATCGTAGAGGTAGAATAC